GGTACCGGGAGCGGCCCCTCAAAGTCGAACGACGCTCATACCGGTGCCGGGAACTACGTCTGGAGTCCGATCGGTACCGATGATCGTGACGGTGCCGAGACGTAGAGCGGTGCCGGGAAGAAGACCTTGGCCGCGAGTACGACCGGTGCCGAGGTGATAGTCGGCGCCGGGACTGCGAGCGGCGTCGGGACCTGCTCCGAGATCTGGAGCGGTGCCGGAAGTCCCGGGCCGGAGACGGCGGGCGCAGCAGGGCAGGCTTGCCCCTGGATTGTAGTGCGCGGGGAGCCACCAGTGCCGTAGGTGGAGGCGGTGCCGGCTCCGTGAGCGCAATAAGGTCCCTGGCCGTCGCAAACGTCTCCGGGGTGGAAGGGAGACAGGGCTCCACCACCGACCGAGGTGGTGATTCTGTGTGCACCGGACTCAACGGCCGCGGCGCCGGAGTCGACGGTGCAGGAGGGACTTGCTTCTGTCGGTCCGCAGACGGACGCGGCTCTACCCCCGGCACCGGGGGAGCCGGCGTCTTCAGGACAGCAGTCTCCTGCGCCTTACGGGCTTTCTTGTGGCCCGGAGATATGGACCGGCGCCGAGTCCCTTGTGGCGGGTGCGGTGCCGAAGGCGGCCGGTGCCGTGAGGACTTGTCTGATTCAGCCTGCGGTGCAGTACCGGTCGGAGCCGCCGGGGCGCTGCGCACCGAGGCGCTCGGCGCCGGGGCTGGGAGCGCCGAGGGAGGATCCGGGCTAAGTGCCGCCTCCATTAGGAGCTGCCGAAGCCTAAAGTCCCGCTCCTTTCTCGTTCTCGGTTTGAAGGCCTTACAGATCTGACACTTATCTGCCTGATGGGATTCTCCGAGGCACTTCAGACAGGAGTTATGCGGGTCGCTCGTCGGCATAGGCTTAGCGCAGGACGCGCACCGCTTAAAGCCAGGAGCCTTGGGCATGAGCCAGGCTATGCGCCGGGGGAAAAAGGGGGGAGAACAACCCCCTTAACCCCCGCTAACTATTTACAACTATATCAAAACTATAATGAATAACTATCTAAAGAGTAAAAACAACTATAACTAGAACTATCTACAAGAATTGAAGGATAAGCTAGTGAGAGTGGAGAACAGCTATGCCGTGCTCCACAGTTCCAACGACCGTCAGGGGCGGTAAGAAGGAACTGAGGGGGCGCTGGGTCGGCTGGGGTATATATCCAGCGCCATGAAGGCGCCACTCCAGGGGGCTCCACAGCCGACCCACCGGGTGTTGCTAGGGTAGAAAATTCTCCGACGATCGTGCACGCGGCGCGCGCACACTTAATTGGAATCGATATGAGCAAGCACTCGAAGAAGAACTTTCTATGCCATTATTTTCAGTTGCACAAGTGATGATTTATCATCAGACAGCCTTCATATTGATCAGTAATACTGCAGCTCAGCTGAGAATATGCAAATGGGCCTTACCATTGTGTAAAGAAACAAGTATTGGGATACACCTTTAAGAGAAGAAAAAATTCTTTACTGCTTGGTATTAGTCAACAATCCCTGCACTTCTATATTATCCCTAGTTTCAGATGTGATTCATGAGAGAATTGGTAACGTGTATATTCAGTTTTCCTGCATCATTAAACAATTGCACCTTGCCCTAAAGCATGAAAGATTCCCCTACACACATACCTGGCATCTGCTTCAATTTTGCAAAGGGAAAATCATTTTCAAGTAATATCTTGCTTTGAAATGAGTCCAGTGTGGGTGGTTTTATAAACCTAGTGAGAGCATAACATGATAATTACACTGATTTACAATATAGACCAGGGGTCAGCAACCTTTCAGAAGTGGTGTGCCGAGTCTTCATTTATTCACTCTAATTTAAGATTTCGCGTGCCAGTCATACATTTTAACCTTTTTAGAAGGTCTCTTTCTATAAGTCTGTAATATATAACTAAACTATTGTTGTATGTAAAGTAAATAAGGTTTCAAAATGTTTAAGAAGCTTCATTTGAAATTAAATTAAAATGCAGAGCCCCCCGGACCAGTGGCCAGGACCCAGGCAGTGAGAGTGCCACTGAAAATCAACTCGCGTGCTGCCTTCGGCACGGGTGCCACAGGTTGCCTACCCCGATATAGACAAGGTATGTCCAGCCATATCCCTTTGATTGGCCTCTCATTTTAAGGACAAACTAGTGTGGGATCCAATACTGCCATGCCCAGTTTTGGATACCATTTATATGTGACTAATACTCAGATTGCAATAGGGCACACTGCAAAGTAATCTAGTACTACTCCATCAAGTACAAGAGGTTGTCCCAAAAAAAAAACACCTTTCCATAAAGCAAGCTTCTGAGAAGGAGAAAATGCCCCTAATGTCAACTAGAGGAAAAAACAGAGGTGAGGAAAAGGTATTACTATCCCCTTACTATCATCCACACTTTGTAAGCTCACTCTTAACTGTATATAGCTCACACAACCATTTTTCTGGTTCCACATATTTATCCTACCTAGCCTTTTACTTGACTGCCTGGCAAAGCTGAAAAAGTTGCATGGCTGACCTTTTGCCAAACCACAGCACTTCCTCTGACATTAAAGGAAACGAAATCCCCACAGTGGCAGTGAGCAGTAGTCATAGGACCCACAGAGGATATTGTCCAACATGCCTTATGATATCTGGCCTCCGTCCTGGTGTGCAGAAACTACCTCTCTTCCACAGGGAACTTCAAGGTTTTAGAAAAATTGTGTGCACCTCGCCTGAGGGAAAGGCCAATGCTATTTGTCATGTTAACCATCTAGCAGGATCTCTTCCTGAGACAGTAAGAACTACCCAACTTAAGAAAATGGAGAACTGTGCCCCTGAAATGCCATGGCACATATAACCTGACTCTAAATGGGTCCCTTCCCACTGAGCTCCTGTTTTGACATTGTTAAATTATCTGAGTGGGTATTTCACCTTTACAAGCTTTTGAATACAGTCTAGTATTCACATTACAGTAATCTCATAATCACCACCAGGGCCCTGCTCTTAGTGCTGTACGAAAGTAAAGTGAGACCTGCACCCTGCCTCAAAACTGCTTATAACCTGGGGACAAGAGGCAATAAGTGAATAACAAAAGGGGACAGGGAGTGAAGACAAACGAACAGTTATATCATGTGGTTAAAGACTAACCATTTACACAACTTGATAGGTCCAAATTAGACTTCAAGAAATATTTTAAGGAGCCACAGCAAGTGGTAGCCATCTGTGTTCCCTTAACATCCGCTCCCATCCCCAGGAGAGAGTGACCTAAGCCCACTACCTATAGTTTTTCTTCATTCATTTGCTTTGCCTTCTAGATAGGCCACTCCCCAATCTCCCATTTACCTGACATCATTAGCCCTTTATTTAAAAAAGATGCAGACTGTTCCCACAACTCTAAGAGGATGAGCCCCTTTAGGGAATTAGCATCTCTGAAATTTCCAATAAGTGGAGTTTTAGAAGAGTATCCTTATGCCAGGGTCTTTCATTATTCCTTGGGCGATTCATCATGGATATGTGGCATAGCATTGGTTTGTTCTAGGTAGGAAGTACAGCTTGAGCTCACTTTGCTTTTGCCCATTATGATTAAAAGTATGTGCACAGATATTTCTCGTATTTAGAAAACTCTGAGATCTGTGTCTTTTACAAGGGTGGCTAAGCTTCATTATCCTCGTTTTACAGCTGTAGAAACCGAAAGAGAGGGGTTGTGAAGTTTTTACAGAAGATCAACACCACACCCAGAATAGAACTAAGTTTTTCTTAATGGTAGTCCAGTGCCCTATTCAGGGACTACCTTCACAGAAAGATGTTCATATACTGATATGGACTGTGCTGTATTTTTTATTTGCTCCGTAATTCAGACATGTTTCTAACACAGATTTCAGATTTTACAAGTAAATTAAAATCTGAAGGTGTAACTATTATGGCAAATTTACTGCATGACAGTTATACTTCTGAATCACATCTCACTGAATATTAAAAAAATTAAATTGAAAATCCACAAAGATTAATTTTAGCTTTATTCCAGAAACTGAGAATTTAAAGGGTGACACAGAATTCTTGTACCTTCAGTTTTTAATTAACAGGGATATATATTTTTAAATTTTTACAGTCCAAATCAAGTAACTTGTTTCTGTTTAGTAAAGCAACCATGAAGTCTACAACTTCATTGGATAGTATCTGAGTTAACTGAAAAATCTAAATGGATGATTTATTCTTTAAATGCTGTTGAGTTACTTTACATACACAGTACTGGAAAACTGAAATTTGCTTTTGATGAGTATATTGGTGAGTTGCTATTGAGTGATAGTTTGTATTACTAGTTCTATCTGCATTTATGGAAAATTAATAATTTTATGTAATTATTAGAACTAACTTGGATATAGTGTTAAAAGGAAGCACATGGAGAAAAGGATTTTACTTATGGTATCCGGAAGAAACCATTGAAACAAATTAGATTAGCTCCAAGTATTATATAATGTAGCCTATAAATATATTTTAACAAAATTACTTCAGTACAAGTAGTTCCAACTAGCCTCAATTCTGAAATGTTTAAGGAAACAACATTCTTTTAACAGATCCTATTCCAGAATCACTTGTATTCCTCTACTTTCCCTTTCCAAGACCTTAAGAACCTAATTCAAACCTAAGTATGTAAATCACATTTACATTTAGTAATCTAGGTAATTTAATGAGATTGAAAACACAACACTCGGTGTAACCTCAGTTCTACAGTGTCATCTTCCAGAAGAAAATTAAACACAGGATTAGCAAAAGATTAGCAATCTTAGCAAAATAATTGTACCAAGACTTACTACAGTAACACTATACAGAAAATACTACCAGCTGGACATGTTCATCTGTGCACAGGGAGCATGGAGCTTATTAAAATAGCAGTCACAACAAGAGGATCTGTTAGACGCTAATCAACCTTGACTAAACAGAGAATAAAGAACTAAACCCGGGGAAAGCCACAGAAACCCTTACCAAAAATCATGCCAAAAGCACACTTACCTAAATGTAAGAAGTCTGAGCTGGAAGAAGGAGGTGGTGCGCTGTGTGTGGAAGGAAATATACTAGATGTAGATGTTGCATTTGGATTAAGAAAGTCTCCAAAGAGATCAGGACCAGACAGAGTCGGCTTCTCAGATCCTGATGACATTGTGAATGGGTCAAACGGATCAGCTAAAGAAAGAGGCAGAAAACAAAATTATCTTGAGGGCAGGTGTTACTGCAAATAAAATCACAGGAAAAACTTACTTACACCCTCTTGGGCAGGGGCAATAAGGTGAGGTCATGGGTGTCAACTGACGAAGGCTTTTGAAGTTTCTCTTCTTTCCGGCAGGAGACAACAATCGGTCCCTGCCCCCAGACATTAGTACTTACATGCTATTAGACAAGCAGAGCATTTCAGCCAATCACAGCCAAGGAAAACAATTATCCCTTCCAACGTAAATCCTTACTGACACTGTATAAAAATTCAGCCACAACGCTAGTTTTCTCTACACAAGCCATTCCCTCAATCTTGAGTCATTCATTTCAGATCAGCCCGCATTTATCCAAAAAGTCACATTAGTAGGGAGATCTAAAAAGAAGTCAGCAACAAGATAGGAATCCCAGAGCCCCAGATAACAAATTGTAACCAAAGTGGGTTGTTAAACTAGCAAAAACAAAACAGAACAGCAACAGTACAAGGAAGGCATGACTAAAGGTGATTCATGTTCATCGTGCTGACACACGAGCTGGAGAAGGCAGCAGCACAGTGTCCAGGAGGGAGCTACTTCAGTGACCACTGGCAGGGAGAGAACTAACTGGAACAGTATTTATACCCAGCAGGGGATGGCATGTGATGGCCAGCAAGAGGCTTGGCTCAAGCTCTGCCCTGTACCAGTTTCCCTCAAGGGTGAATGAACTTCAAGAACTAAGGGACTTCTACCAGTCTGACTCCAAAAAACTAGAATCCAGAAGTGATAATCCAGCCCTGATGTGTCTTTAGATAACATGATTATATTGCATATGATGCTGTAAAGCATGTTATCCTGAACACTGAATCTCATGCATATACAGCCTGCCTTTTGCTTCAGCATGCAGGTACAGAATCTCAGACATCGATCTGACTTAAGAAGGTAATATGCAAGTTGAAAAAACCAGTAGAAGCACCAGATATACTCATTCCTGTAATTCAACAAAACTACTATACGACTGTTACTTTCTTTATATAATGTAACAATAGGTTGAGGTGCATTTCTCAGTGCTTTCCCACGGCTAACAAGGGGCGCATAGTCAAAGGATAAACTACCCTGACTATAACTTTTATGGACTCCTGCCAATGAGAGAAAATGCTAAACCTAAATAATTTGATTTATTCAAACAACTCAGCAATAATGAAGCCGGAAATAAATAGTTCAGGGATCACATAAGTTATCTAGAATGCAGCAATGTAGCATGTAATTCTAGCCTTCTGTCCAAATCTGATGATTTTTCTGCATTTACGTCAGATCCCTTAACCAATTCCCAAAGAAAATGATGTCATTGTAACAGGGATATTTTAGCATGACATTTACAGTGATGAACTGGGAAAAAAAATTGGGTTGAAGGAACATTTAATACTACATTCAGCTTGAAGGAATTCTGCACTCTAGAATTACGACTAGTTCTAAATCAGGAATAAAAACGATGGATCCTAGTCCTTTTAGCCCTCTTAATAAAAGAAAGCGGGACTTCTATTACATAAATCAAAATAATTTGCGTTCTGAAGATCAGGCAGTTGGTAAGGTTTTGCTTAATTGTATATTCTCCTTGCACTTTAGTCTTATGTAGGTGCGGATGCTGAATTACATGAGGATCAAGACCTACCACTGGCCCAGTCCTGTCCACACATTGTTAAAGAATCGGACCAGTAACATCCAGTAGTTCCTTAATGATGTGTTAGTAACAGTTCTTGGAGCTCCTGTCTTGTGACAGGGATAAATGACTGTATACAAGTGCAAGACTCAGTAATGATTGAGTTGTCATCTTTCACTCAAAGCTGCTATCAACCTCTGGAAAACGAGAGGAAGAAATGGGTAATCACCCTTTCATGTCTTGGCAATGTAAGTTCTATGTACTTGGATCCAGAGACGAACATAAAACAAATCAACACTTTTGCATGCAGGACAGCACAAAGTTTTGCTTTTGCATGGATTATTTTTTTTAAAACAAAGTGAGATGAATTTGTGTAAAACTCAGCTGAAGCTGTACTTCAAAGTCGTGAAAATAGGGAAAAATGCAACACTGCCAATGTCATATTTTGAGTAAAGGTGGCTTTCAATGAAGGTTGTAAACTTGAACCATGTGAAAAGCTGCTAAGTGTTATGAAGCAATTATTCTGTCATAAGAAACAGACCTTTTACTATGTACTTTGTCTAAGTATTATGTGCCCCTTTTGCGGATTCTGATGACAGACTGCAACAGAACTTTTAGATATAGATCAAAACAGGGTACTAACATAGTGTACAAACAGAAAAATAGTAAAGCAGCTAATAATTATTGCCTCATTCAGTTATTCACACTATATCACAATTCCGAAGTAGAGAGAATTGAGTTACATACCAGCAGAAGGCAATGTTGTGGGTGGAGATGTACTCTGGTTACTGGCTGAAGGCTGAGGTTGACTGCTGAAAAAGAAGTCTGCCCCTTCGCCTAGAAGGTCCCCAGTAGACTCTTCTGAAACCTGCGACGTGCTACCCACAAACAAATTGTTCAGTAAGTCTGCGTTGCTAGATGAGCTCTTCATCTCTGAGGCAGTTTGATTCTGCTCTGAGGGAACATCAGAGTCTAGTCCCAATAAATCTACGTGGTCTTCCAACTGAGGTTCTTGTGGTTGGGCAGATGGAGTTTCAAAATTAGCTTCAAAAAATATATCTGCATCTTCTTCTGGAGGACTGGGTTTTTCTTTTTCTTCAACTATGTCTGTTCTTCCTTCACTAGGAAATGCAGCAAATTCTTCATCTGATGGGTCACTTTCATCCCTGTCATCAATCAGTCCAGGATGATTATCTTTGGACAAGCGGTCCTCTGCTCCAGGCTCTGGATCTCTTCCTTCTATTGAATGAATAAAAACAGATTTACCTTTTTATAACACCTTTAAGTTAACAGAATTCTCCTGCTCAACAAGGAGAAACCAGGTTCAAGTGCCAGGGTCTGAACTTAAAGTTCCTTGCACAAGAAGGCTCAGGGGGCAGGGACAGAGAAGTGAAGTGCCACTAGCTTGCCCTGCTCAGAAAAGGGGGGGGCGGAGGGCGGGGGGAGAAGAGAAGCTTGTTTTCCTGCAAGTTTAGTGGCTGGAGGATAGAGGCCACGACTGCTGCTACTGAGCACTAGCTACAAATGCCGCCCTCCCATCCCCGGCCTCTCGTGTCCTTCCATCCTCAGAGGCAAATACCCCCCTTCCCATAGACAAAGCCAAGGAAGCAAAATGGCTCTGCCTGCCAGGAGCACATGGACCGGAAATGTGACTAAGTAGTATATTCCTCCACCACTCAACATGTGCAACTATTAACGCTGCACAATTAAAGCAAACCCTTTGTGCTAGACAAGGAGATATGATCTGAGTTGAGGACAGGAGTGAGACACTGGGGAAGAGCCTTCAGTCTGACACTCCCCTTTGGACACTGAGTAAATTATGGTTTAAAAGGGCTTTGTATTATACTGCTGCTCTAAAATCAGTAGTAATGCTGTCACCAATGGCACCCCAGCAATTTTGCTGTCAAGTGCTGGGGAAAGCCAGGAACAGCGTGGAGACACAGGGCTCTCGGAAAACACCAGAGCAGGCAGGCCAGGTTTTCAGTCCAGACCTACTCAGTTCAGCTCATGCCAGAATTTCTTGGCCACTCCACCTGCTTGCTTTGCAGCCAGCATCCACAAAGGAAGGGGGAGGATACAGCCCTGCCTCAGTTTGATTTGTGAGCAGCAGTGCATACCTATTACCTTTACTTTATGCTGATTTGGAGATCCCAAATGAAGCTGGACAGCAACATTCGCAGACCTGAAAAGCTCAGTCCTTTTTAAATGGTTTTTACTTGCACTCTGATGAGGCAACACACAAAATTGAAATAATCATGATCTGTCCCTTTGCTTCCATTATGTAACAATGTGCCAACGCTGGAGCAATCCTTGCAGGTGGGGGAGAGACAACTGAAGTATTGCACAAGAGATTAGTCCTTTTGGTAAAGAATTAGTAACTTCACCTACCTTCCCAATCCAGAGTATGGAAGAAGTTATTTGCATCAGTGCTGCTGCTCTGTGGAGAGTCCGGCTCTGTGGGTGTGCTTTCGGGAGACTGTTCCGATTTGGACTCTTCTGCTTCGTACTGTGCTGTTGAACCTGGCTGTCTAGGCAGCTCAGGTTTACCTGTCAGATGGAATTTCAAACCAAAAACCTTAGACATACAGTTCTGACATTGGAAAAATTCAGATTGTGTCAATCCAAACATGCAGCACGTGGTATCTTACTCAAAAACATATCAAGGTGGCAGTCAGGAAATAACTCTTGCTTGGATCTCATGAGCAAGCTGCTAGTCTCTGTCTAGGGAAAAGCCCATACAGCTGTGAATTTAGGATGGAGTTTTAACCCTGGTTTCAGCCACACACGTAACAGCTGTGAAATTAAATTAAGGTATCAGACTTAATATTCTAGTAGAGTTTTGTGTCCTATATTTAAACTGATGTGACTCTACTCAAGTCAGTTGCCATCAATTTCTGGTTCTTTACTGCATACCAGTAACACTCTGAAGATATTACAAAATAGACCAAGGTGGACAGGAGGGCTGTGAACAAATCACAGCCATTTCAAAACAAGACACAGAAAGATCGCTCCGTTTCCCTTCTCCCACAAAAAACCCAAAAAGAACAGGTTCAATGAAACTCATAGAAAGTACTTAAAGTGTAAGGCAACAACAGTGTACCACTGATTTAGGATACAAAGCTGTCAACCTCAACTTGGAAGCAGGTGAGTGACAGCACCCTGCTCATGCAGGAATTGGTCATTTTCCTTACTTCAATGTCAGGTGCTGAGCTGGAGGGATATTGTCAGAAGCTAGGGAAGATTGCCTTATCAATGGCTCTGTAGTCTCACACAAGAACAAGAGCTCCATGCCAAATCAAAGAGTGGACACCTAACTGGCGAGAGTTTTAGCATGGGAATTACTTCATTTTGGAAAGAATGGGGTGCATACATGGCAGTAAGTTGAATTATCAAACACAGAACAAAGTATTTAACTTGGTGAACACCCCACATCTGCTCTGTACATGGCAGTCTGTAAGGGTGCATCTACACAAGGTGGAGGTGTAGTTTTCAACTCAGTCTGATTGAGCAACCATGCTAAAAACAGAAGTACAGCTGTAGCAGCGGGACAGGCTAGCCACCCCAATACCATCCTGCTGAGGACCCTAAGCATGTACTCAGAGCAGCTAGCACGCCCCACCCTAACTACGTTCTTATTTTTAGTGCGCTAGCTCAAAACTAGTGTGCACACGCCTACCCAAAACGACAATTATCCTTCCAGATCAAGTGTTGACATACCCTAATGCCAGCAGCGTAGTGTCTGACTTACTGGAGTGCTGCAATAACATCTTTGTTTACAAACCAAAAGATTCACAAAAAATACAGTATGGGATATGCTAAACATTGAAAGGGTCCTGCCAACTCAGCTTTGGTCCCATGTTTAAGTTTTGTGAAAACAAATTTATGAATATCTAAGAAAAAACAACAACATTTTTTATCTTAAATTTCAATTAAAAAAATATATTTTCACCTCCAGTTTTTCAAACCCAAACATTTCAGGGCTAAGAATCTAAATTAAATCAACTTCCAGGATTTTCTTTTTCTCAAGAGGAGGCAAATTCAGAAAGTAAAGGAGCATAGTAACTAAGTGATTTTTTAAAAAATTCTCTCACTTTCAATACTAACATCTTAGATTAATGTAAAACAAAAAATGTTGTTCACAATATGATTTAGTTGAGTGTCCTAACTAGAATACAATATAAAAGGGAGATTTATGTTCAGGAAAGAACAAGGCGGCTTAATGCAAAATGCAAGCCTGGCAGAAATATACTTTTCTAAAAACATATGAAAAAGGGGAAAAGTGACTATGATGGATCAAGAGAAAAGTGAGGAAAAAAGCAAATACACTGAGTTAAAAAAGATAAAAGAAGCAGAAAGACAAGAAGTGAGGTCTTACTTATTCTCTAAATACAGCCATGTTAGAGAACATTAAAGAAAGGATGAAGGAGTGGAACATGAAAACTAATGAGACCAAGAAAAAAGCAAACATTAAATATAGCAATCCTGGCAAGAATTACTAAAAATATATCCAGAACGAGGAAGTTGGCTAAACAGATAAGATGCAATGTTAAAAAAGTAAGATCCCTTCAAGAACAACGGACACTCACTAATGCAGGGAAATCTTAAGAGAAACAAACCATAACTCTACTGGACTATGCACAAGAAACATCTCAATAACAATATCTTTTGAACTATGGGTATGAAAGGCCACTTATGGAGAATGCTAGAATACTTTGAACTGCATTGATGAAAGTGTAAGCTCAGCTAAGCAGCGAAAGCGGAGGGAATTCTCCCCAGGTTTTGGAGGCGAAGGGCTCAACTGCCAAGTATTTTTGTTTGATGTGTCACTCCAAATAGGGCCTCCAGAGCTCTGGGAAAAGGTGAAAAGAGTGCCAATATAGATAAAAAGATTGGGCTAATTACAATCTAGTATTAAGGAAAACTCCTATTCCTTTATAACAGGCAAGGGTACTGCACAGCTCTTCACAAGAATTAAGTTTTCCCTTTTATAGGTCTGTTTAAAAATTTGTCTGAAAACTAAACAAAATGAGTCCTGAACTGGAATGCTTTAAAAGGATAGGAAACAGGCTAAAGTTTCTAATGCCTCCAAAGTTAAGCTTTACCAAATTTCGATAAAATCTCTTGTTGTTCCTCCCGACTGGAGAAAAGGATCTTGGGATTCAGTCCCTTTATGTTCAAGTTATCCCATGGTGCTCGTTCACTACAGGGTCTGTCTCTGGGCTCCACCTCCACTTCCAGATTCACTTGAAATAAGTCAGGATATTTCTCTTGAATGTCACAAGCATCCAGATCATACCTGTAATATGGCGATGTAATAAAATCACAAATCAAAAATCTTTCAAGGCAAATATTCAATCAGCCCATCAGGTTCACTGTCTTGGACTGCAGCAAGTTAAGTGACTAGTATGTCTATGGAATTGGTGTGCAAAGCATAAAACCAATTGGATTGGGTTACTTTTTCCCTGTTTAATCTCATAGGGATGATTTATTATGAAGAAATTTCAAGAAAACCCCTCATCAAGAGACGCTGAGTCAAAGGAAGTGTGGTCAATCAAAAGCCAGGACTCATTTTGTTAAAAATGAAAGCTATCATTTTCCCCACACTAATAAACATACTCCCCCCCCCTCCCTAGATCTGTTGATCTGGCAAGTAAAATAATTTGAAAAAAGTTTCTGCAAGTTGTGTTCAGCAAAATATTCACATACTTAGCAAATTTCACTGTGGTGGCATTCCGGGGCACAAAACCTGTGTGGAACTGAATCTGGAACATCTTCATTGAAGCCATCTATGGGGAGGAGAAAACATAGGATAATTACATAATTCTGTGTAACAGAAGATAAGGACTCTGTATCTTACTTTCCTTTTGGTGGAAAGCGTTTTTGATATTCATGAAGGCATTCTCTTTCAGTTCAGCTTCTCTAAATATATAATAGCTCCATATAGCATTTTTCTTGGGATGGCTGAATTTGGACTTGTTTATTTCAATTTGTCAAGTAAGTTGGTAGTATCAATGAAGAAACACCATCAGAAATAAAGACACAAGGAACCTGATTCTAATCTCACTTACACCTGTACAAATTGGGAAAAGCTTCATCAAAAGCTAGTACAGCATGCTCAAACTCACGACAAGCAGTGGCAGATTAGCCTGCTGGGAAGCAGGGAAAGCCCCCACGCCCCAACCCCACTACCCGGCAGGAGTGCCAGGCAGGCGGGGCAGGGCAAGCCCCCACACCCCAACCCCGATCCCCGTCAGGAGCGCTGGGTGGATGGGGGAAGCCCCTGCGCCCCAACCCCGCTCCCCAGCAAGAGCGCCGGGAGGGACTGCAGGCAGAAGGGACGGGGAGAAGCCCTTACCTGCTCTTGCCCAGGGCCCCACAAACCCCTAATCTGCCTCTGAAGACAAGACATAATTCTGTAGGGTAGAACTCTGGATCTTTCAGTAGCCTTTTCAGAATAACTAACACTTACAGAATCCATCTACAGCATTGAGGGAGAACGGCCTAAAGAGAACTAGATGTATTAATCAAGTGAAAGTTTGTCAGCATCTCAGTACTTATGTTTACACAGTATGTCATGTGTATGCAAGGACTTCTATTCATTTCCTGTGCAATATCCTGGCTGTCAATCTCACACTGGCCAGCATAATAGGGGTTTTTTGAAACTGATCCATGATATCCATCTAACTTATCCAACTCTTCCTTCTGCTGACAGACAAGACGATTTTCCCTTCTGCAAACACCAACGTAAGTAGTTTGCCTTTATTTACACATATACATCAGTCCTGGAAGAAAGGTAGCCAAAAAGTACACAGGGCAATCCATCCTTTCAGGAATCTCAGCCCAAAGCTAATGCCAGGTTCTCCGAGACCAAAAGAGAGAGCAAACTCCCCTGCTGCTGCCTGCAATGCTCCCTCTCCAAACACCACTGCTTCTTGCTCAGAGTAGTTTACTATGAAGGTAAAACACAGCATGTCTTCCCAAGACTCAAGAGTTGCTCATACGCTAATGAAAAGAGCATGGAAGATGTATAAAAGCACTATCTGGAGATACCTGCTGTAATATTTGCAACACTATCAAACTCAATCTAAATTTGACTCCGAACTTCAAAAAGGAGTTTAAAAAAAATGATATTTTCAATAAACGTATTGTGAACAGTACAGATCGAATAATCCTCTTTCTTGTTGATGTGTTTGCACTTGATTACGAAGAGCAGCATTTACCAAATTAACGTACATAAACTTAAGGCAAAGCAACATGTTTCATTTTTAGTTTTAACTGCTATTGTAACATCTTCATTTCAGTCAAAATCCATACACGACAACCCAGTTCTACAGAATAACCAAGTGCAATTTGGAAGATCAGAATTGGCAAAGTCACATTAAGGTCAAAACAGGCCAACTCCATTATTGGGGCTGTCACTGCACATACCAGTGTTGTGGCTTGGAGTTCCACTAGGACAAAGAGCTAAAATAGCGAGATCATGGCAATTTAAAATGTCAATGTCCAAGAGTCTTAACGGGTAAGTGCTGAGAACTTTGGAAAGTCAAGCAACTTATCTAGGAGCCTAACTTTACGCACATATTTTTTAAAAGTCTTGGCTTTGTTCAAGAGAGGACAAAATGTCTTACATACCCTCCTTCCAGTAAGACACTGCTCTCCTGGTCTGTGGCTTTTGAAAAAAGTGAAATCAGCTCTACGTATTTTGTAGCCAATAACAGACATTTATAGTTTCAAATAGTAACCTTCAGGGCTAGTTCTCCACTTTCAATGCACTGGCAGCAATTTTCATAGTCAACAAATATCAGTGTTCCATTTCCAGGAAGTGGGAAAAGCTTCTAAAAAAGGCACCAAGAACTGCTTATGACTGGATAGTGGCCTCCCCCAACATTTAACCAAATGTCATTAAAGCAGCTTCTTCGTTGAATGAGGAGAAAGATTTTTCTGATCTGGCAAGAGTCCAATTAAAATTCCACATGGAAAGCAAGTTTTCCAAATAGATGGTATGTCAGCCACAGGCTACATGTAAGATACAACAATTGCTGGAGCAATGGTCTGATCCAGTAGGTTAAATCCTACCGATTCATACAGAGATCTCAGACTTTAAGGCCAGAAGGGACCATTATGATCACCTAGTCAGACCTCTTGCACATTGCAGGCCACAGAACCTCACCCACCCGCTCCTGTAATAGTCCCGTAACCTACGGCTGAGCTAGTAAATCCTCAGATCTCGATTTAAAGACTTCAAGTTACAGTTGACTCCACCATTTAATCTAGTTCAAACTAGCAAGCGACCATGTGCCACACTGTAGAGGAAGGTAAAAAACCTCCAGGCTCTCTGCCAATCTGACCTAGGGAAAAACTCCTTCCTGACCTCAAATATGGCAAATCAGTTAGACCCTGAGCATTTGGGTGAGACCCACCAGCTGCACACCTGGGAAAGAATTTCCTATAGTAACTCAGAGCCCTTCCCATCTAGTGTCTCATCTTTGATAGCTGGAGATATTTACTAATGGCAGTCGCAGATGGGCCATATGTCACTGTAGGCAACCTCATCATACCATCCCCTCCATAAACTTATCAAGCTTAGTCTTGAAACAAGTTAGGTTTTTTTTGCTTCCACTACCCTCCTTGAAAGGCTTTTGCAGAACTTCACTCCTCTGATGTTTAGAAACCTTTGTCTAATTTCAAGCCTAAAACTTATTGATGGCCAGTTTATATCCATTTGTTCTTGTGCCAACATTTGCCTTTAACTTAAATAACTCCTTTCCCTCCCTGGTGTTTATCAATCTAATTTCTGGAGAGCAATCATATCTCCCCTCAGCTTTCATTTGGTTAGACTAAACAAGCCAAGCTCCTTAAGTCTCCTCAAGTAAGGTAGGTTCTCCATTCCACTGATCATCCTAGTAGCCCTGCTCTGCACCTGTCGCAGTTTGAAGTCATCTTTCTTACACACAAGAGACAAGAACAGAATACAATATTCCCAGTGATGTCTCACCAGTACCTTGTATAATGGCAATAACATTCCCTTACCTCTACTGGAAACACCTTGCCAGATGCACCCTAGTATTGAATTAGCCTTTTTCATGGTCCCATCACATTGGTGACTCAGTCATGTTGTGATCAACCAATACACCAGGTCTCTCTCTTCCACCCCTGTTGTTTCCAACTGATTAAGTCACCAGCTTACAGCAAAAAGTCTGGTTAGTCTTTAAATGCATGGCCTTGCTCTTTCCACTATAAAATTTCATCCCATTTCTATTCCTCCAGTTTTCAAGGCCATCCAGATCTTCTTGTAGAATATTGCAGTCCTCCTCCGTGTTGGCAATACTCCCAACTTTGTTTCACCCACAAATTTTATTAGCATATGCCCACTTTTTGTGCCAAAGTCATTAATGAAAATGTTAAAGATTAGTCCCAAGACCCATTCATGAGGAACTCCACTAGTAACCTCCCTCCAGTCTGGCAGTTCACCTTTCAGTATGACCCCTTAAACCAGTTCTTTACCCACCTTTCAATTCTTTTATTAATTGATATCTTCTCCAATTTAGCTAATAATTTCCCATATGGAAATGTATAAAAAAATCTTACTGGAATCCAGGTAGATTAGATTAATGCATTTGCTTTGTTTAGAAAATCAGTTATCTTTTCAAAGAAAGAGCAGATTGGTCTGGCAGGATCTCTCTTTTGTAAAACTATGTTGTATTTTATCCCAATTACCATTTACCTCTATTTCCTTAACTACTTTTTCTTTAAAAATTTGTTCTAAGACCTTGCATATAATTGAGGTCAAACTAACGGGCCTGTAGTTTCTTTGGTCACTTTCTTTTCATTTCTTAAACGTATTTGCAATTTGCCAGTCAGAGTACGACTCCCGAGTTTAAGGATTCATTAAACATCGTTGCTATTGGGATCACAATTTCATGTGGCAGTTTCCTTTAATATTCTTGGATGGAGATTATCTAGGTCCCCTGACTTGGTCATTAAATTCTTTGAGCTAGACTTCCAACTCAGATGTGGTAATTTCTACTTCCATATCATCATTCCCATTAGTCACCCTGCCAATGTCCACATGCTCCTCATTCTTATTAAAAACTGAGGCAAATTATCTTTTATCTCCACTCCATCCTCTGTGCTTCGCAGTCTCACTTCTTTCTTTATTTTCATGGCTAAAGAATCTTTTACTGTTGGTTTTAACTTCCTATGCAAGGTCCAACTCTGCTTGGCTTTTGGCAGTTCTCACCTTTTTCCCTATATTTTCTGGAAACCTAGCAAACCTAGGAAATCTGAAGGAGGAATTACAGATTGAGCGAAGAATGTGTAGTAGAGAAATATAATGGTGAAAAAAATCTGAAAAATTAACTTCTACCAGCACTGAAAGTATTTGCATAGACGACTAAATGCTTTTATCCATTATATTTGCATGCTAAAATAATTGTTTTCAGAACCTGTGTGTGACAATAATTCCTTGAATTCTGTAGGTAAGTAATCCTGAAATGTATAAATATTTCACATTTGTATTTCCAGACTTCACTATGGCTACACCAAAGCAGAGAAAGCTAGAACTTTTAGTGATTTGGGTTGAGAGAGACTTCACATGCAAGAAGAACAGGAGTACTTGTGGCACCTTAGAGACTAACAAAATTATTTGAGCATAAGCTTTCGTGGGCTACATCCCACTTCTTCGGATGCATAGAATGGAACATATATTGAGGAGATATATCTACGCAAAAGAATTAATGGGCACAAATCTGACATCAGGAATCATAATACTCAAAAACCAGTGGGAGAACACTTTAATCTGTCTGGTCATTCAATGACAGACCTGCGGGTGGCTATTTTACAACAGAAAAGCTTCAAAAACAGACTCCAACGAGAAACTGCTGAACTCGAATTGATATGCAAATTAGACACAATCAATTTAGGTTTGAATAAAGACTGGGAATGGCTGAGCCATTACAAACATTGAATCTATCTCCCCATGTAAGTACTCTCACACTTCTTATCAACCTGTCTGTACTGGGCTATCTTGATTATCACTTCAAAAGTTTTTTTTCCCCCCCCCCTCTTACTTAATTGGCCTCTCCGAGTTGGTAAGACAACTCCCACCTGTTCATGCTCTCTGTATGTGTGTATATGTATATCTCCTCAATATATGTTCCATTCTATGCATCCGAAGAAGTGGGATGTAGCCCACAAAAGCTTATGCTCAAATAAATTTGTTAGTCTCTAAGGTGCCACAAGTACTCCTGTTCTTTTTGCGGATACAGACTAACACGGCTGCTACTCTGAAACCGTTCACATGCAAGCTTTGCTTTTATAGCCTGAAAAATGTTAGCATTTTTAGTTGAAAGAAAAATCATGAAGCAACAATATTCTGTTGCCTCCTGCAGCGTGAAGGATAGTAAGGAGACTATGCACTGAGCCAAACCACAGATGGAAGCAGGACACTGGAATAGATGGACCTCCTAATCTGTGCGGGATGGAAATTCCTGGAATCCCACTTTGCTATTGGCCCAAATACCTATTCCAGTTGTGGTCTCTGTGTTCTGGATATTAAAAAAGATTATATCTATCTATCTATCTATTAGAGAGAGAGCGAGAGCGAGAGAGAGCAAGAGAGAGACACACCTCTACCCTGATAGAATGCGACCCGATACAACACGAATTCGGATATAAAGCTGCGCTCCGGGAGTGGCGGGGCTGCGCACTCCAGCGGATCAAAGCAAGTTCGATATAACGCCGTTTCACCTATACGGTAAGATTTTTGGGCTCCCGAGGACATATATACACACCGAGGTAGAGGTGTGTGTGTGTGTCTATATATATATATATATATATATATATATATATATATATAAAATCACTATCATGTAAGTTAGCAAAGAGGTGTGTTATTAAGGTGCCCCACTTGATCATGGCAAAGTATATTATATGCCAGCTCTCTTGTGATGGAGAAAGAAAAGGAAGTCAACCGCTGAATGTTAAATGTGCTAGGATGCATGCTATCTAGTTTATGCAGCTGTCAGATGGCTGGACACTGCATGAATACAGTGAGGCCAGGCACCAAAACGGATGTTGGGGGAAGGGGGAAAACGTCCCTATTTTTAGAGATGTTGAGCATCCATAAAACATGCTGACTTCAATGGGAGCTACTCCGTGCTCTGCACTTAGGTCCCTAAGTGGCTTAATTTTTCATAAATGTGCGCTTTGGATAGTAATTTTAGGTGCACACACTGTGAAAATCATAGTCCAAGTGGCCTCATTTCATCTTAAGAAAAGGAGTGTCAATTCTAGCTAGAGTTAATCACTTACTACGTGCTCTGAATCCTGAAGAATCAAACAGTGACATTTTATATCTAAAATTCAATCTCCCCAGAACTGGGAAGGATGGTGGTCTCTGTTTCAGTGAGAGTTCAGATAGTCCACACAAGTTCAATCTGATCCTGTATCACAGAATAAGTCAGGAAACATAATTCTGTTTTTAGCAGCATTCCAAACAAACATTTTAAACAACTGTAATCAGACAGGCAAGAAGGTAGCTGTTTAAGATTCTGTTTTAGTGATTTACTCTTGGCAATTAATGTGATTAGAGAGCCTGTATCATACTGCAGTTTGACTTTTAGACAGAAAAAAGTAATCAACCTTCCTTTTGGTGGGAAATAAAAACAACAGATGAAGACTCCTGGCTAACACACAAAGTTCTGATTTTTTGCCACTTCTAAATAAGGAACTTTGGCAGAACTGCATGGAGAAGTAAGGGGCAGGAGCTCCAGGCATCAGACACTGGGGATAACTACCAGTTGTTGAAATGCTTGCTTACCAGAAAATGCTGCAAAAGGAGCAACTAACTGTACACTTCTTGTCAGAATGCTGACCAGAGGCTGCACGTCATGACAGGATTGAAAGGGAAGGTTGAACTCCTAGCCAAGCCACCTGAACACCTCAAACTCTTTTCTCAAAGACAGATGAGCGCACAGAAGGGGAACAATCAAACAACTAACAAACAACACAGTAATCATGAAAGAGACCATGGGGATTGTTCTGCATTGCAAAGAATAAACCCTGTAAAGGTTCCATTAAGTATGTCATTACCTTGGCTTGGAGTCTGCCTCCTAATGTCGACCTGGCATGATAGATCACAATGAGAACATCACCTTGGACTGTTATACCCAATGGGATTACGGCTTTGCCATCCTCAGTTTTGAAGTCCCTGAAGAAAAAGCACATCTCACATTAAGTTTCAAGAAAAACAACTGCTTTGAAATTAATGTGTTTTTACCTGTTCTGTCTGCTTACTCCAGGTCCCTCTAGGCAACTTAGAAATTCCACAACTTTTTTTTACTATGGAACTAGGGCTTAGATATTCAGGAAGTAACATCTTTTTTAGGAATTGGCCCTCTCCCCGCAGGAGACTGAGGCCCATCTAGACCAGCCTCCTATCTTGCACAGTGGCAAAGAATCAGATTGCTGTTACCACACTATTGAGCTGACCATAAAACTAGTTACCACGCTACTGTATTCATCATAGCAGTGAGACACGATGTTTTCCTAATGCCCGTTCCTACTGCTCTCCTTAGCTTATTGCTCAGTTAGATAGATTATCCCCCAAATTTGCTTCACACTCAATGTCCTCCTCTCAAGGAGGAGCAACCACCTTTTCCAGCTTCTATAACAGTATGCAGCTCTGCCCCTTGAAAGGATCAATTTCATAGTTGCAGAGAGCTGCGGGTGAGGTCTGAGCAGGCATGTGAAAGTTGTCAGGGGTACAATGACAGACCATCACGCTAGTAGCACAGATGCATCTGCACATGCTGGGTTCCTGAAAGACCAACTCTGAGCTGTAGTCTTCCACCACTTTTCCATTTCATTTCTCTGGGAAGCTCTCCTAATCCAGTGTGTTTAGAAGGTGCAACCCCATTTTTATCCCCCATTTTTAACTCCTGGAAGCAGGCCTGACCTTCAAATGTCAGTGGAATCTTTCTCCGCTCCTCCTTAACACCAGAGTTGGGATTTGAAATAGACTATTATAATAATATGCTGCTGGTACCAATTCTTTTCCTGCCTAGGTTCCAGACTCTCCCAAAAGCACAACCTTAACACTGGTTATATCTATCCCCTGCACAATACCACAGGTTTAAATGCGCGTCTGAATACTAACTGTCCGCTGCTCTGAGACTGTGGATGGAGTTAGGCCTTCCAGACAGAACTTGGGTAGAGTATCACCAGGTCTGCCCTCAATGACCCCCAAGCAAAGGCAGGACAGACCTGTCCTTTCAATGCAGAGTTTGTACGAGAGGTGTATTCACTGCATTCGCACAGTCCCTTCAGGGAGCAACGTTTCAGTATTAAAACAGCTCCAGAAAGAGTTCAGACTTACGTTTAGGAACCTGCACTTACTTCATTTTGTCATATTCCTGTGAGGTAGTGGTCACTCTTTCATCCCCAACATAAACTTCACAAAAAGGCCTACAGCCATTTCGCAGCTTGCTGAACAGAGGAACTGGTGTCATGATAATTGATTTGATAAGGATTGGCTTGCTGTGAGGAATAATGGGTTCTTCTGCCATCATGTCACACATATACTCTATATACCTGTCAAAACAAGAGGTATTTGTTCAGAAAAACAATACAGCCTGGAAATGCATGATCTGAAACTTAGCTTGTCATTGTAAATATTCGATTCCACAATGTTCCATGACACCATTACTCATAAGCACAAGGGAGTATATTTAACAGCACATTAGGAAACTTAAGTCTGATTTTATAGATTTCAAAGTCAACCTTGCATGGAAAGAATGAAACGGAGAAAAGGGGAAAACAATCTAGATGTGTATGTCTAACACATTTCACCCATGGCCAAAGGAGAGTTACTACAGCGGTATCCATGCACAAATTCCCATACTGTTCTAACTTAGGCACCTATATGGCCCCCCATCAACACAGTAGTTGAGTGCCTCAATCTTTAAAGCATTTCTCCTCCCGACACCCCTGTGAGGTGGGGAAGTGCTAATATCCCCATTGTACAGATGGGGAACTGAAGCACAGAGGGAAACAATGAGCTGTTGATGGTCACACAGGAAGTCTATGGTGGAGCAAGGAATTTCGCCCAGCTCTGTCAAATCCCAGACAAGCATTCTAGCCTCCAGACCATGCTTGGATTCATCCTTGTCAGAATGCACCGACTATTTCAGTAGTAGGGCTTTTAAAAAATTAGCCAATTTTAACCAAGTCGTATCTAATTAAAATATTTCTAAACTGTAGTGTACAATTTTGCTCCTCTGCAGTTTGCTAATCCACACACCCCCTTTTCAGACATCTCTTTATTCTGAAAGGCAAAGATTTATCGGCAGATGCTCTAGTGAAGTTATAGATTTCAGTATTTTTACAAAACCTAAATACAGTCCACCTGAAAAACTCAAGTTATGCTAGTTGCCAAAATAGATGATACAATGCATAAAAAGATATGCATTTACTCTTTTTAAAGGAGTATATATCCTCTTATTCACTAAATATGCAATGAACTGACTTCAAGTAAGTACTTGTTATACTTTTGGATTCTGTAAGTCTGAAGAGCGTTCAGACAGCTGGAACTTACGTCCACACTGAACAAGCTTTACTTTGTCTCTTCCACATTTGAGGATATAGGTTATACTTTGCTTTGTAGAGAAGTATTTAGGACAGTTTTCACTTCAAGCATTTTACCACCTCAGCTTTCATTCTTAATGTAGTTCCAACACACATCAGGTTGATTTGTTCAGTAACTAGGGTCACATGAATAACAGATTCAAAAATCTTGCAGAATTCAAAATTTACCCAGCACACAGGTGACTCATTTGGTTTTGCAAATGTTCTATCATCCTACCAGGCTAATTCCTAAATCAACTACCTCGTCCTACAAATCGGTGTGCTAATTTTTTTTTTTTTTTTACAGTACATGCTCATATGTAGATTTGCTTCAACAATGCTTTGAAAAGAGATTGATACTGTACCTTTTATGAGAAGGCCAAATGCCAGGTGGACAGCGTTTCATACTGAACATATAAACCGCAGCCTCCGCAGTAGTGAAGAGACGGCAAAAACATAAAAAGGAGCAAACTACAACAGCAGACGCTGCTCTTCCATCCTACAAAAAATGGTGACCTAAAGTTATTAAACCTAGTTCAAAATGTTAAGAAAATTACTGACGAACATGCCTGTCTACATAAGAAGCCAAGTTCATATCCTTTATTTCAAGTTATGAATTAGGCATAATTTAAGTTGATCATGGCTGGTTTTTGAACCACAGTTTAAGTAATAAAGCCTTAATGTTGTGGGAATGTAGCAAATTTCTTTAATAGTTAAAATTAAATGTTTTTCAAGATGAAACACAAAAGCTAAGCAGGAAATAAACAGAATTAAGTGCTCATTTGAATGCTATTACTGAGTAGTTACTAACTTTAGCTTTATATTATCTCAGAGTTCTGAGTGTTCATTTTCTTAGCATCAGTACCCTAAAGTTTTAACCACATAGTCTGGCTGCTGAGTGGGAGATCCATTTTAGGCACTTCTTCTGCTGACAAGCTAAGGGGCTTCTGTTACAGTGCCAGCAAGTCTTGAGGTGTACAGGAATAACCGGCGAAGCCATGCAGTCAACATCGGCTCCAATTCCTGCCTGGCGATACATCTTTGGTAATTACTCATGTATTTAGAGGAACACAGAGGGAAGTTTGAGACATTAAAGAAAAATTCTTGAGCAAAATTTTCATTTTGACAGGGCAGAACATTCAGGAAATGCAACACGATTAAGACCACATAAGAGAAAGAAATAGTTAATTGGTAAACAAGTCTCTGATGACAAAACTTTACAATTCATACAGAAGCTTGATCATTTACAGAATGGAAACAGGAGAAATGTCAATATAAAGGGGATGTGGAAAAGAAAAGCATGGACTTCAGTTAATTTCTCCCACCACATTTTGATGGGAGGGTGGTGACAGGATATAGTAACAAAGCTAGTGCTTGGATCAGAGCAATCATTAAGAGATTAATCCAATGCAAAAAAATTCTGAGACCGCTGAACTCTGAAGATTCCCCCTCCAACAGCCTCAAAGCAAGTTAACAGATTATGGCTACATTATTTCACAGTAGGAGTACAACCTTCTTAAAATACTATGTACACCAGCAAAATATGAATTTCAGCAGTGTAGGTCAAATATAGCCATTTGGTGAACTATTTAAACCGGAAGGCTTATTTAAATGAAATCACTGTAGTTTTATCATCAAGTTTTACAGGTGATTATTCATTAACGATGACCATCATTTTGTCTGCATAAATCCCAAGTTATTAGGCTTTACTACAGGTGAAACAGGTAAGGGAGGGGGTATAATGCTGAAGTGCAGCCTCCTGGCAGCTACTTCATCCTATGGGCTAGAATGGCAGCTTCTGCACCAATTGTGAAGGAATGGTAGGGCCACTGGGTGTGTTATTAGAGATCCCACAGCCCCTCTAAGTCCAGAAGACCCTCTGTTAAATGCAGTTTATGTGGGGCAAAAAGCTTTACTTGAGGTCTCCCCTCAAGAAGATTACTTACTTCTAAAGTAGCTGGGCTTATATTATGAAACACAGTGTTACTGGTTCATTCAGCGAAGGCCTCACTGAATGGGTAAAGAAAAATTATAAATCCTTTACGTTAATCCTTAATTTTGTTTTTTCTCCGCTCCTTGCATGCTGTTTCACCTCTATGGGGAAATATCAACAGAACTATGATCATTATTTAGACACAAGCTAGTTCTCTGGAGTTTGTTTAGCTCCTGGATCACATCTTCCGAATGAAAGACGCTTTAGGCTTATGCAGTTACTTAGAAAATTCACTGTATCTTCTAATTAAAACCACCAGTTCAGAAACTTCTTTTGTTTTTCTGGTTTCTAAACAGAGGAACTTCTAGTAAGAAGAATCTGAGTTCTGCATATGGCCGGTATTGCTCATTTCTATTAAAGAAGAAGAACTTATGCCAGTACTATGTGGAATGTCTGGCCTGTAGCCATACCTCACTCAAGCTTTCCATCATGTCACATCTCAAACAGGGCTGAACCATGTACGTGCATTGACGAGAGATCTCCATAGACTATTGCAAGAAATGGAGTTAACTCATGAGATATCGCTCCTGAGTCTGTACTGAAACAGTGCCTCTAGCATGGTAGTTAGAGACACTACACTGGTGGAGCTACCATCTTAGAGGTCAACTGGATTCCTAAACACGCATGGAATTTTTAATGATCACAGCTTTTCTTGTAAGAGCTGTGCATTGACTAATGTTGTACTGGGAAGCTGGGAAGTAAAAAGGGAATGTATTTCACTTTCCTTCTTCTTGACCTATTGACCACCAAATTGGTGAAAGTTGCACTATTTTACCACACAGGCTCCTTTTCTTAAAAAAGAATAAATAAATAAATTTAGACCGCTACAGAATTGGCTTAAGACGGTAAAAATCAATGTTACTCATACACAAGAATTGATTGATACTGCAATCCTTGCGGTCACCTAAAGCTGGACTAGATGAAAAATTTCAGATGTACCTACTACTTACAAGGCAGTGTACAATGCAAACTTTTTTGTGATCTTGCTTTAGCCATAAATGCATGTTCTTGCAAATGCTGTAAAGGTTTTGAAGATTTGGTGCACGTCTTGCTGGCCAACCACATTCCGAAACCTGGGTTGGGGAATGGGGTAAGAGGTAAGAAAATAAAAGTGACTACTACAACACTTATATAAGCTATAACAACAACAAATTGGCAGTTCTGTAGGTAAATATTAAATCCAAGAACAAATTAAACAGGAGCAGTCTCAAATAAGCTCTCAATTTGGATAAGCTCTTCTCAATATTCAGCCCAAAAGGTCCTTAATCGTGAGTGTTGTCTCTGAGTGCTACAGAAATACAAATAAATAGCTACAATGTGAAGAACAAACAGTCACTATTAGAGAATGATGCAAAACAGCTCCCTTCTAGCTCATATTCATAAGCTCAGAACTTTCTTAAACATTCACCTTTTGGGCTGAATTTTCTCGTGCTTGGTCTCTGCTCAATAAAAAAAAATTAATTGAGAAAAATCCTTTCAGCAATTTCTGAGTTACAACAGATTATAAACAACCTGCCACTGGTAAAAAAATAGTCTACATTTTAAAACAGGATTATAAAATGGGGCAAAATATGAAACGATGCTTTGTGATAACAAATAGATACAAATAGATGCTTTAAATTGTTCCTCTGAACCCAACAAAGAAAGTTTTAGTTTAGACCACTGAGCGTGCTCAGGGATAGATTGATATGGCTTTCACAGAATGGATTGAACTTCGCTTCATCACAGCACATTTTCTTGCCCAGACCGGCAGCTGCAAGGGCTGCTGGTGGGACAAGCTGCACAAGGCTGTTTAAGTATCAGAGTGTAAATCTATGTTACAATAAAAATACCTACTGCACCAAATCTCAGAGGCTGGGTCAGCTGGCTCAGGTGGGAGGGTGAGGGGCTGTAAAATTGTAGTGTACACGTTTGAGCTCGAGCTGAAGTCTGGGCTCTGAGACCACCCACATCATGGGGTCTCGGACCCCGGGTTCCCGTCTGAGCCTGAACATCTACACTGCAGCCTGAGCCCCGCGAACCTGAAATCAGCTGACCCAGCCCATCTGCAGCTTTATTGCGGGGCTTTTATTGAAGCATAGACAGACCAACAAACACTACGTAATCCTCCAAAAGAGAGGTCTTAACGTCAGGGTCAGAAAAAATTGGCAGAACGGAGAGTTCTGCTGACTTAGGCAGGTTCTGGGCACCCAGAAACTATTATATTAGAATGGACAAAGCTATTACATTAGAATGGGAGTCAGAATAAGCCAGGAGAGGATTCAGAACTAGCATTAACTTCAACTGTAACTAACGCAAAAGACAAGAAAGTTCTGAGAAAGCTTTGTATTGGTGGATGAGCATAGGAGCGAGAATTTAAGCATGAGTTCGAGAAATAGCTGCCTGCTAGGCCTAGAGTATCCACCGATGAGGAAACATCCATTTTGCAATGGCTAGTAAGCAGAGTATTGAAGTTATAAGCATGTTGTGTTCCTCTGTGATCGTAACATCACAATGAGTCTCAAAGGGGAGCCTTTATGGACAACTGAAGGAGTCTTGAATGCTGTTAGCTTCTGACATGGCTGCTTTCACTCAGCATGATTCTAAATTTAGAGTAAGTGTCTTCTTTTTGTGTCTACAACAATGAATTAATGAGTCCAATTTGTAGCAGGATTATATTGTGGGGATAATTTTTTTGTCCTGCTAATGTCCAGAGAATTAAGAAGCATGTCCTTCAGGTGTATGAGGTTCAAACAAAGATGAAAAGGGAAAGCTTCCTGATTCAAGTGAAACAAAGAGCTTATTTTCCAGGATAAATTTCTGCTGTGTGAAGGAAACTTTGTTTTTGTAGGTCCTCAAATACCTCTGGCCATTGATGGGAGCCTTATCAAGATCAGTTTGAGCAACAGCTTTTGACAAGTGCAGATCCAGTGTTACCTTCTGACTACAATGGAACAAGTAAGGACCATGTCACTGACCGGCTAAATGAACAGTAAGGGCTGACAAACTTCAGGAGGTCACTGACGGCTTTGGATTTGGCAATTTCAACAGTGCCTTCACCCGTGCCAAGATGGTGCGGGCTGTTACTGCCTGGGCAACAGACACTTCAAATATGCATGCTAAGGAACTGTATATCTTATGGGTAGACTCGAGTTTTCTGTCCAGGGAATGAGATCTCCGTAAACCGCAAATGTGATTTGAATTGGAAACTCTGGATAAAGTCAGATTTATTTATTTTATTTTATTTTAGGAAAAGTGGTGTATTTGGAGGACCTTTCTAAATTTTTTCTGTTTTTGGTTTTTTTGTTTAAGTGTTGGAGGCATGTCACTGATTAAGCTCTTACTTTCAGGATTTTTCTGTTCCAGATGCATTATGGGTCACAATAATCTTGGCATTAACACTGTGCACCCCAGAAACAATTAGGCTAAGACCCTAAGGATCCCTCAATCTTTCAGACTTAGTCACTTTCCAGGCAGCTTTAGGCAAACAGCTCATCCTCCCCATCTTAACTCCAATCCTCAGGCTCCCATTTGGAGACAGAGGGAATTCTCTTTTAGGTCTGAGGTGCTACCTCGTGTCCTTCTATGGCGAGGAGAGGACTTGTTGGAGGAAGGAGTAAATGGCAAGGACAGGCCAAAGGAAAGCAGGCCAGTGAAATGCATAGTGCTGGGCAGACAGATGATTTGGGGGGAGAAGGGGGCAGTTATATGGATGAAGAAGGGATGTTAATGGAGAGATCCCACCTTACAGGTTAAGGTCCAAGAAGGGACCTGGAATAGATGAGACTTCCAGACTATCCAATATTAACACCTCTCTGGAGTGAAAGATCTCCCTGAGGGGCTTGGACTCCTAGCTGTATAAAGGTCAAACCAAAGCCTGAAATGTATAGTACAAGGAGATCTGGGGACAGCACTGGGGCATGGTTCTGCTAGAGGGCTGAGGTATGTCAACCTGAGACTTTGCCGTTGAGCCAGTCATAGACTGGTTGAGAGACAGGAGTCAAAAAAGGAGCAAAGAAGTGTTCACTGATACTTTACGGCCTACCTAGCTGGTACCTTCTATCCGGTTATGGAGTAAGTCATGTCCTCACCCCACCCCCTTTCTAGGTTCTGCAGAACTGGACAGGAAGGTTTCACAGAGACGGGCAGGCTGGGCTATGCTGCACCCACCATTTCAGGAAGCAGCAAGGAGTAGGCATGGCTAGATCGCTCACTTGAGGAAGGGTGTCATTCGGGGGCTGGGTCCAGATGGAAGTCAAGAATAAGGAAGAGAGAGATGAAAAAAGGAGAAATCCCAGTAGTGAAGCCATCATAAGTAGTTCCCACGGTAGGGTGGGAAGCCTCTGCAAACAGGTGGAACACAGATTTGTTTCTGAACAAGTGTCTGGTCAAGTGTAGTTGGTCTTTTGGCCTCGAGATGAAAACCTTGCCTTTGTTTCTTGAAGTGAAAAAATTCTCTAAGTTATATCTAGAGGGAGGTTCTGGGTGCCTAGATGTTTCTTCACAAAGCTACACCATTCCAGTAAGTGGACAAATCCTTCCTATTAGCAAGTCTGAACTGGTAGTAAAAGCATGGCACAGGTAATGTTGCCATGAGACCTTTAACTTTTGTAATTGCTCATTTGTGATTTTTAACTATGCATCCTAAACATTGGATTGTAGAAGATTTTAGCATGTAATACAACAAGAAGTGATAGGTCTACTCAATTTATTGTGTTGAAAGACCTACTAAAGGAAAAAATCAATATGCAAGAAAAACACATACAGACCCTATTATGAAATCTTGAAGACCTGTATGTTCTTGGAGATAGATTGTAAACAGCATAGTGTCCAGGGTGTTTAGAGTCTAAAAATAACCGCACATCTTCTATGTTATTTTTGATGGCAGATTCTACACCTTCTGCTGGAAAGGACATCACTGAAAACAGAACACCACCAATGTTTGAGGTATCAACTTTTACAAAACCACAGTTAAAAACAATGATTAAGAAAGATGAAGCTATCATACCAGCAATTCTGGAAGTGATATACGATATATCCAAATCTCCCTTTGCATAACTGAAATAAATAAAAAAAAAAAAACCACCTCTAAGTTAATATATTAAAAAAATGAATCCATTCAAATGCAAATAGAAATGTCTGATGCAGTAGTTTATTCTATTAATGAGCTAGTATGGAGATCATTTTTCCATTTGGGAATATCGTCAGTAAGAGCTCTGCTTAAACCAGGACAGCTGTGCACTACAGGATAAGGCAAATACTGCAAGACCAAATACATTTAACTGAGAAAGGCAGCTGTTGTGGACATTGATTAGATTTTCAAATGGAGACTTTTTTTTAAAAACAGACAGTTCTTGCACTTACACACGAGGAGGCTAATGAATCTTAACCAGTGCAGTTATAACATATGGTAGCATGACTAAAGCAACTCACCTGCCTATCAACTTCCAGCTATTCAAACCTTTTTATCAGTATCTTCCTACGTTAGGTACTTCTACGGACCTCATTACTACAGTATCACAGCATCTCAATCTTTAATGAATTTATCCTCAACACTCTATGAGGTAAGGAAGGGCTATTATCCCCATTTTACAGATAAGGAACTGGAGCACAGAGATTAAGCGACTTGCATAACAGCACACAGGAAGTATGGGGCAGAGGAGAGAATTATGCCTAGATCTCCCAAGTCTCTGACTAGCACCCATCCTTCTTTCCTACACAGGCTCTTATTGCCTAAGCAGTAATTAACTGTTTCCCATTTTATGAATTATATTTGAATTCTATTTTGGAGACTATCTAGTAGGTAAATTGAATATTTAAGATTCACTTTAGTTCCATGAAAAGTAGCCAGTATGAATTTACAGAAGATAGATCATTGCTAAAAATGAAAGGAAGATGTTATGTATATACAGCATTTGAATTGAAGAGTAGCTTTTGAAAGAGCTTCAAGACACTAGCAGGTAAGGTACCGTATTGTATTGTACATGGGTGGGCCACATAGGTAATAATCTGTTCAGCGATAAGTAAGCAAGCAGACAAGAAAATACTGAAAGGTACAGAAAACTAGATCAAACTACAGTTAGTATTTGAACAATTTGTTACAAAGGGGTTTATATCTGTCTAGGACATGGAAGATAGATTACTGCCGTTACAAGTCATTTATATACAGTATACAGTATGGTATACGGTCTCCTTTTTTCCCCTATATAGTATACCATACTGTATACTGTATACTATATAGGGGAAAAAAGGAGACATCACCACAGTGAAGCCTTCTTGCAGGACAGAGAACAGAATAAATGCTAGCATTAATCTTCAGAGATTCTGTCTGCTCCACCACTGAGCTCCTGGGGACTTTGAAAATAGGGGGCAGTTAAAAAAAAAAAAAAAAAAAAAAAGTCCAAAACAAAAACACTTTGCATTTTTGTAGCACTTCCCAAACCAAGATCTCAAAGTGTTTTATGAAACTTGACAGCTCCCTTATGAGGCAAATTCCTATTATCCCTATTGTACAGATTAAGGAACAGAAAGATAAAGCACAGATGACTCACTCCAGGTAGAGATCTGACCCAGTCAGGAATAGAAACCTGATGCCCGACTTCCATGCTGGTGTTTCACCCACAAGAACACCCTTCCTCTCAAAATAGCTCAGACAGACAAGGCATACAGACAGAGAAAAATGGAAATCTAATTTTCTATAGGTAAATAAGGTAATGAAGGCACATTTCTAAGGCCAGTTAAGACAGACTCCTCTAGACAACACTTGATTTATCATTTACTGACTGTCTGCTCTAGATGATCAAGCAGTGTTCATTTGACCTTCAACATGGATCAATTCACCCAGGTGCTGAAAGGGGAAGTGGTCTAGCCATACCAATATTTATGCCTTTTTCTGGTGGAAGTAGCCCACTAGTCAGTCCTCATGCATAGTGGGAAACCTAACAGGAAATGAACAGGGTGGATAAAAATCAATGATTTAAAAAAAAAAAAAAAAAATGGATTTTTGTATTTAAATCGGATTTTTTTGATAAAATGCTTTTTGATGAAAAAACTATCTAAAGATAGTTTTAATTAAGATACATTATAGTTCAAAGATATCTCATCATGGAATAGGGATTATAAATTCTAATTCTATAGTATGAGACAATATAATCATGCAATGTTTAAGAAAAGTTTTGTAAATGAATTCCAATAGTTCATGGATTAGGGACCCAATCTTATGGGGCTCCAGGGGCTTCTGTATAGATTATTTAGGTTAATCTTTCTATCTACCCAATGGGACTCAGTGCTCAGTCTAGAAGATACCATCAGAGATGCTTAGTTTTGCAGTTCTCAAACTGTGGATTTCGCTCTCCAGAGATAACATGCTTGTTAACAGCCTAAATGTTTTTAAATAAATAAATAAATATATAGAGGTGAGAAATAAACAGACCTCAACCCTATTGTCCCTCTGCAAATTTGTGTACACAGAGTCAAGTACGCGAGCTCTGATTATTAGTAATGGGCAAAGCAAGGAGGCTGTCTGTCCAGGTGCCCTACTTGGGGGAATTCTGCTATACATTGCAGGAAACCATTCTACAGTGACTTAAAGATTCATTTAATTTAAAATGTTCTTTTCCAATTCTAACTCCTACGACATAGTTACCATAGTGATTTTTACATGAGTTCATAGTGATGAAATTTTAAATGGAACACTACATACTGGCATATTTGGCCTCATATCAGCACCAGCAGGATGCGTTTTGGAGTTTCAATAGGACACTTCTGACTTTCCCTTTTAGAAATTATCAACACTGATGTTCTTCCTACTTACTTGGCCACAGACTGGATCACTTTAGAAGAAGTATCCTTGATGTTTGTGAAAAACCGTTCTGTTCCACCTTTGAGAATATCAAAGAACCCTCCGTAAGACTGGTCAAGTTCTGCAACTGTCAGGCCTAGAATTAAAAAGCAAATCTAAAGTTACAATTTAAAACAAAACAAGGAATGTAATGGAACTGTGCTCAAATTTCTCTTCACAAGGCAAAATCAAACTGAACTGCCAACAACTTAAGATGTACAAAAACAGGATCAGCCTTCCCGTCACGCTCAGTCCCAGAACGAAGCTTTCAACTTCTGAAGAACAAACTACACAACAACATTTTTCCATGTTCCCAACTATGGTGGTAAACTAGAATAGTCTACAGGTATTACATTTATAAAACATGTAACAAGCCATTTTACATCTCTTTATGAAGGAAAGACAGACCACCAAGTGTCTGGCTGTATGCATTTCTGTCATATCACTGTTTAAATCAGGGGTCTCAGTCTCGGCGCACAGGCCATCTGTGGCCCAAGAACCTCCCCATTGCGGCCCGCGGAGGAGACACATGCAGCCACGCTGCCGGCAATGTCTGCTGCAGGTGCCGCCCCTCGCAGCTCCCATTGGCTGGGGGAAGAGGGACAGAGATACCATCACTAGTTGCCATCATGGAGGCAGCATCATTAGTTGCCGGGCAGAGTCAGCCATGGAGGCAGTGTTCCTTTTTTCCCCACAATATAAACAAGTCAAAATACTGAACACAGCTATCTGACGCACACCTTGCTGCATCCTGTGGGTTTCAACTGCTCAGTCACTGAGGCCAAACATCAACAAACTGACAGAACTGAAGCGTTGCCAGGTGTCTGGCAAACACTAAAACCTCTCTGGCAGGTGAAGAAGTTGTATGACAGTTTTATTATTTCTGAGAAATTCGAAATGAAAAAAATACAATATAAACATTTTCTTTTCTGACCACCATCTTCAGTGACATTATTGGCCCGCGGGGAGGGTTTGAGGACTGGCCCTGGCCCTAAGGTAAAATGAGTTTGAGATCCCTGGTTTAAATTGTGGCATGCTGCCTTTCTATTTAGTGCCATCATCCTGATATGCAGCATGCCACTGAAAGCTACTTGACTGTACGCAGTACATTTTACAGCCATTTCTGGTTTTATCTCGGAAAGTTACATTTGTTACCGGGATCACTAACATTTCCTTTTATCATCATCTGCTGGACTACATCCTGTTAACATTACTGTGTAATACATAAAAGAGTCCTCTTTGACCCTGCGTGAAGCAGATGGTCAGACAAGCATTTGAAAACACAATCCTGTTATGAAAGAAGATTCATCCCACAGAGAATAAAGTGTGGACAGTATTACTAAAGTATTTTATTGGTAGTATAAATTTACCTCATTTTAAAGTTCCCCCTTCAGGTAAATTAATATTTGAATATATACTTTTCTCTCATGAGCTGCACAGAAGGCATGAATAAAATAACTTAAATCAAGGAGGAGAAAAAAATTGCATGCAGTAAAATTATTAATATTTCCAATCTTTCATTTTAGGTGAAATATATCCAGTTCCTCGAAGCATTTATGCTCATGAAGTTAACAGTTTAATATTTAGCCGTGAAATCACACAGGACAGAAACTGTTATTTCAGTTAGCAAGATTATACATATTGGACACAAAAAAGGGATGTTTTGACTAAGACCAATTAATAGGTTACTTTGAAGAACTGAAGTTCAACCAAAGTAGGCTATTATCTGTTTTTAGCATAATATATTTATAAAGTGGAGGTTTCTATTTGAGTTTGTTTTTTGGAAAAATGACATTTCTGATCCTTAACCAATCTATTTTTATGTTCTTATAGCATGTTCCAAATTTTATATGAATCTAAGTGCTGCCTTTTCCTTAGCTGCTACTATTTGTATAAACGGATATTCATTGTACAGATCAGTCATTTTCATCTAAGTGTTTTATTCCACAGGTTAACAATGTCATTTGGTATCAGCTGTTGCACTTTAGCAAACAGTCTTTTCTTGTGAGAAAAATGTAGGGAGTAAATTTTTACATTTGCCATATATAAACATGAAGTCTATTCTGAAGAAGGTGGAATCAATCTACAAATGTGAAGTCCTTCACAAGAACTATATAAGCTTGCTTAACAATAATCATTTACTTAACCTAGGTGGTTTTCATAAAGCAAGATACTTAATAGCTGTATCACTCAGGAGAAATGAATATTTCTGCTAAGGAAGTTCATTTAAAATTTCAAGCCCACCCAGAAGTTTTCACATACCATAAACACAACTAGTAAGTATTCAGATGGTGTGTGCAGAGATGCCTATCACTGTACATACCTGCATTGTACATATTGTTGAGCTGTCCTGCAGGCTTGGAGCCCTGTGGCACCAAACTTGTAGACATTCTAGGCACAGCATTGTTCCCATAGCCTCCATTTTGTTCCAGGAGCTGCAAAGAATCATATCCATCAGGAGAAATTTTTTTTAAGTTTGTATATAAACACTGCATTGGCAAAGGACAGTTACAAAACTTAAGTTGCCCGGTCCTCACTGTTTAGCCCTGAATGGCTGTTTAAACTACTGAAAGGACAAAAAAGTTTCACTAGTTTTGTTTCAATGCATTAGGCACCATGAGAAACAGGGCCAATATTCTTTAGTTCGGCTTTCAGCCCAGGTTTTTCTGGCTGCTCTGGTACATTGTTACTGCTCAAAGTCAGTAGTAAAACTCGAGGTTGAATGGAAGGAGTATCAGGATCTTGGCAGGAAAATCTCCCAGCTGAACTGCTGAAATACGGATACTATGAACTCAACATGTTAGCAATAAGGTGGCTGCCTTGCAAACCTATCCCTAATTTTTCTAAATCAGAGCTAAACTTACCCACAAAGATTCAACTTTCTTCTACAACACAGATGAAAAAGGAAAGGCTAAGAAAGATGGCCCAGCTTTAGAAGAGTGATATGGCACCTTAACTCCAGAGCAGTGATACTCAGACCTCAGTGGTTCAGGAGCCAAATTACGATCAACATTACCCAAGAGAGCCCCAGGAGTGTGAATTCATTGTTTCATTTACTATTTTTATATACATCTCACAGCAAAATGACTGACCAAGTATTCTACAATTGGTTAACAACACAGAAAAGGCATCTTGATTGGTTAATAACTTAGATTGGTTAATAATTAAATCATTCAGTGTTTTAATATCATGTGTTGCAAAGAGGCACGGGAGATACAATAAGGAGCCACTTGCGGCTCCCGAGCCTCAGTCCGAGTATCACTGCTCCAGAGCAAAGGACAGGCAACGAATGGGACAGCCATGAATTGGGTCACTTGAGCAGAATCCTACTCCCATTTCTAGACAAGTCTTTACAAGTGTGCAGAAACTTCCAGAGCTTCCTTCTCTCCCGCTTCCCCTAAAGCGAGAAACACTCCTCATGAAAAAAGTGTGACCCCCAAGTAGGAGACAAAAAAGCAGCAAGTTTTATCTAGCAAGACAAGCTTCTGTAGCCCACATTACATGTTTCATTTAGGTCGCTGCACCTCAAGGAGGAACATGGACAGAAGTGTACCCTAGACAGCCACTATACTAGTGAGTTTCAGAGTTGGCATGAGGGATTATTTGAACTCCAGGAAGTAGGGCACTTAGATTGCAATGTTTGGGGACACATGCCTAATGTCCAAATTATGAACTTGGATGAGCCATTCACCTAGGCAGAAATAGAGGGGTACCACATGAATGCAGATATGGCCAAAGACACCAAGGGAGACTGCTTAAAAACTGAAGATGGAAAAAGGACAACGTTGAAAACAACAAGCACTTCCCAGAGAAGAAGGGGAATCACCAGATGAAGCACAAACAGGTAGACTGGGCTGCACACAGTCTCCTTGGCAGGAAGGGGGAAGCATATAACACACTGTTACCAAGGCCAGAAATCTGAACCCATATGCAGCTGCTACATTATTTTGGATCCAACCCATAAACTTACCAAGTGCAAACTTGCAAACAGGAATGTAACTGTAGCTGGTAAAAAGATTTTTCTTGGGAAAGCTAACCCCAAAACTTGGGGGAGAGAAAAGGGCTTGCCAACCAAGAGTTAAGGACCAACAGCAGCCTCTACTGCAGAATCCCATTCATACAGAACGAACAGTGGCAGGTCTACACTACAGCTTAAGTCGATCTAACTCATGTCACACAGGGATGTGAAAAAGACACCCCCCTGAGCGATGCAAGTTACAGCGAAACTAAGCACTGTCCACACTGGTGCTCTGTCGGCAGGAGATGCTCTCCCACCAACATAGCTTCCACCTCTTGCAGAGGTGGAGTAATTTATGCCGACAGGAGAGCTCACCCATTGGCACAGAGCATCTTCACCACATGCACTGCAGCTGTACCAATGTAGCACTTCTAGTGTAGACCTGCCCTTGGTTAAACCAGTGCAGTAAAACTAATGCAGCTGTCTGTGTGAACTCTTACTTCAGTTCTGCAAAGTTTAAGGTTTTGTCTCTTTTACAGACAGCAGCAAAAATCACAACAGTTCAAAAGGCTAGTCTGCTTGCAGAGTTGCACCAGTTCAACTGAAGGTAAGATTTAGTTAATCTATTTACTTAAATCTGTGCAAAAGGACACTCAAGTCAATGAGGAACAGGTTTAAGAAACTGAAATAAGCAACCCTTAAACCAAAGTAAAAGTCCACACAGGCATTTGCATTAACTGTACCAGTTTAATTAAGCTGTTGTGAATTTGTGTAGGCCTAAATTCCCTAAATTCATTGTCCCATATTAAACTCCCCCCCTACGCACACACCTTCACAACCACCACTTCTCAGGTCAATTTCAGTCACATCTGACATGTGACACTGAAGATCTACCTCCAGAAGGAATGCTGTTGAGAGGAAGATGCTTCCAAGAGTCTGACAATAAGCAGGAAGAACCATCATTGGTTTCCTTTTAACATATTCTGATGAGAAAGAGCTTTGAGGCTGGGATTTTCAAGCCATTGTAAGTGAGTTATGCATCCAAACCCCATTGAATTTCTATTGAAATTAGGCACCTAAATCCCTTAAACTCATTTGAAAATCTCACTGCAACCATTTTGACAGCTGTTTCAAAGTTCCTATTGACTGAAGGTGGGGAAAAGAAGGATTATACTCTTTGTAGCACTCCCGTACCTCTGTGATAGGAGATTTAGGATTCACGTTCCTGGCAGCCGCAATCTCCTGCAGCTGATTCACAAGTTCAGTGATTGACAACCTCTCCTCTGGGTTCACCTTCAAAGTGGAACCTAAAAAAAGGTAATTTAGACATTACAACAGTCCTTTTTTGATTGCATAAATCTGTTCTTTACTCAGTGGATTCAAGCGCAGCATGATTATCAATAGTAAAGCGTGCAGAAAAACCAGGGAAACAGTCAACTTGTACCCAAGTATCATTTGCCTTTAACAGGCATCTCTGTATTAAGAATAAGGATTTTAGTGATGAATCAAGACGACACTTTTAAAGAAAATACTACAAGAGAATCAAACTTGAAGAAATGTTTAAAGGCAACTTAGAACCCACCCCATTTCATCAGAATTTTAACAACCAACTGTAGTAGTTCAAATGTGTCTTTTGAACTTTGTTTTATTAAAGTTTCTTAAACAAATTCAAGGAATCCGAACCAAAATGCAAAATATTTCCAGCCAATTTATCAAAATCCTAATATTAAGTATTGAAAAAAATCAGTGAAAAACCAAAAGGTTTACACTCAAAAATCTAGTTCTTAACTGCATGTAGAAAAGTTTGAAAGTTCTTCATATTGATGCCACATAGCTAAAAATAAACTAATCATTGTCATACGGTTTATAATGCCACTTCAATGGAACTGGAAATTCTGATTGATTAATCCCATTGTACCTAACATATTTTTAATGATGAAAGAAGTAAGGTCCACAAAAGCATCAGAATAAATGAACAAGATTTTAAACTTACGAATGAGATCATGGAACACAGAATATCGAGTGTCATTCTGAGGAATAGAGTATTTCCCATTGACTATGCGAAGCTTAGCCCCATCTTCAAATGGATGTTGCCTAAAGCACAATAAATACAGGATACAGCCCAAGGCCTACACAGAAATAAAAGCAAACATTACAGAAAAGTCAGTAATTCAGGCACCGAAAACCATTTAAAGTTGAATTCTAGATATGAAACGGATTAGAAACTGGAACAACTCTGATCAAGCTCAAATCTAAAATAACTTTGCTATATGAAATGCAAATTGCTTAGTCATGGAACCCAACACTATTAACAGTGATTCAGCTGCATACCCCCCTTCTTTCTAAAATAACTAAACCCTTGAAGTTTCACTCTTTAGGATTAAAGATTAACAAGCCTAGTCTACACAGACTAACCGTTTCTAGCAGCATGAAGACTGTGGTACAGTTTTGCCATTATGATTAAAGGTCTGCTAGTTTCCTCAGTCTCAGATTTTTTTTCTTATTTTAAAATTCTCTCCAGGTTGAGGGATTTATATTATAGTATAATATATAGGTATCAACATCTTTATTATATATGTAGCAAAGTGTAGCACAATGGTTTTTAAAGTAGGTGCTCCAAAGAGAGAGTTCTATTTTTATGGGCCAAATCCTACATTTATAGTTTCTGTGTAAGTCACTCCTACTTAAAGGATTTGGTCCTCTCTTTGCACTCCTCATTCAAATTCATTCGGTTACTAAGTACATAATTGGGTAGGTTGTCAAAGCGCAAATCACTATTCAAACAGCATTCCATGCAAAGCCCCATTTACTTCTTTACATTGTTTACAAATTTATTCCAGAAGAGAGAATTGAAACCTCAATAAAACAACCATCTAATGAGGCCAATGAGTTTGGGGGACTCAGTTCCATAACTGAAAATAGATACCACAAAATTTGCCCTGGGAAATAGCACATGTGCCTAAAATCAGGATTGAGTTCTACTGTTGCAAGAATCCAAGAATAATGGGATGAGTCAAGGAGAACATTTTACTTAATGTTTTCAGGTAAATTTGGATACTTCGATTAACATTAGGTACAAAAATAAGCAAATAGAAGTGGTGTTCCTATGCTGAACATCTAGTGTAGTAAGAGGTCTTAGAAAAAGTGTGCCCTGTGACAAATGCTTCAGAGGACAGCAAGATTTTCAGAATGCTTCTGGAAAATTGTGCAAAATCCCTCTGGAGGAATTTTTTTCTTAACCCTGCTAGCAATCATCTCACATACCAAGCCATGGTGGCTACTTGCACCAATAGAAGACAAGCATCTGAAGAAAGTGGCTAAAATAGCGACTCAGCTCCTTCCGTCTCAATCCTATCTTATGCCAACAAGTTACAAGTTATCACTTTATATTCTGTATAATTTTAGTGCTGTTTAAACTCTAGTGTCACCTTTTTCTGGAAAGGGTGAAAAATATCACTCAACTGGCCATTATTTTATATGAGCACCTTAATCATATCCCATTTTGTTCTACCCGATTAAGTTCCAGTGTTATTTTATTCTCTATATGGAAACTTCACATTCTCCTGATTATTTTTGCTGCCATTCTTTGGACAGTTTCAGCTACCGCCTTTTCAAGCGGTGATCACATTGTAGCACTCAAAGCCAACGTGTATCACTGATTTGTAGAACACCTATGTAATGGTATTTATTATTCTCTTTCAAATGCAGCCTAATATCTTGTTAGTTATTCTGATGGGTGCTCTGCATTGAGCATTCACCTGTCCATAATGACACCTCAATGTACTTTGTAAGGTCTCAGTCATTCAGAACCTATAAATGTATGTGGTTTATTTAAGTTATTCCTTCCGAAGTGCTTTAACTTACAGATATTTACTTTGATAGCTATCTGTCACTTTGATGGCCACCTACTTAGCACACCTACTTGTGTTACACCAGTTAAGTTCTGGGTGCCTTCACAATTTTCACTAGTCTCTGAATTGTGCGCATAGTAAATTTTGCCCAATATATTAACCAAACAGTTTCACTAAAGGTCTCCTAAAATCTTAAGATATAAATCATCTTTCCACAATGAAAACATAGCTTTTCATTCTTACACTTGCTTGCTCTCTTAACCAGGTTTTAAAACCCAAGATGCAACACTTCACCACCCTGTGGTTTCCAAGTTCCCTTAATAGCCTCTTCCTTTATAAAAGTTCGTTGTCCATCTACATTATATCCAATCAGTTTTAACTGAGAATTCTCACAAGTTAAAAATGGTACAATTCACCATCACAAAGAACATGCTTAATATGAGGTTACGTTACTCGGTTCTTTGTAGTTCTGTTACTTTGTCTGGTACTGAAGAAATGCCCAGGGTAATTCACAGAATCACCCTCAGTTCCACATGAGCACATGGATACAATGTGATGCCATAACTTGGGCCAAGTGACTTCACTTCTCTATGCCTCTATGCTCTCACGTTCTGTCTTGACTATTCAGACTGTATACAGAGACTCGCACTGTGCTTGTACCCAGCCCAATGGGTTCTCTGTTGGACATTGAGTCCCTATTGTAATGAAGATTAATACTAGACGTCTGAGGGTGACTATGAAGTTGCACTTTTGTGTTTGCAGCTCAGTTAGGTTGTTTTTGGTTCTGAATTCTTGGATGAAGGCTATCCAGCCTTGGCTTACTACAGTTTAATTTTCTAACCGGGTTATTTTTGTACAAACACCTTTTAAGAATCAGGAAATGTTCTCATACCAACAACTAAAGGTAAGAAGGAGTTAACGTTTAACAGAGCAAATGCACTCAGTAACAGATGTGCAGAGAAAGAAATCTGATTAGCTCAACTGCAAAGAGCTGTGATACAGGAAAAAGCCAAAAATCAAAACAAGGTTCTGCTTTTTGAAGTTCTAGTGCTAGAGACCCACCAGACACCAGCCAAATGGGTTTCAATAAAGAATCAGAGGAATTACCCTAAAATAAGTGATATAAAGCCACATTAAAGAACTAAAGTGAAACTGCATCAGCCAAAATTAATAAGTCGGATAAAATAACGAGCAAAGAAAACAGCCTTGAAAAAATAATCTCTAACTCTTACACAGAGCTTGTCATCAGTAGATTTCAAAGCACTTTACAAAAGAGTTCAGTATCATCTCCATTTTGAAGATGGTGAAACTGAGGCACAGAAAGGCAAAGTGACTTTCCAAGGTCACCCAACAGACCAATGGCGGAGCTAGAAACACTGTCTATGTCTCCCGAGTCCTGATCCACTGTTCTATACGCTAGCGGCTACAGACAACGTAGATAGAATGTAGAACTGGAAAATATAAGCCACAAAAAACCTTGCAATCACAACATTAGTGGGCATCTTGAAAATCAAATAAGAACCAAGAATGTGTGCACTCTCATAGTGGTGGTGGTGGAAGAATGCTCCCTCAAGCCCATTGAATTTGTGGAAACCTTCATTAATGCTGATACTAAACACCAAAGATTTCACCTACAAAAAAGCCATGTGACGTTTTTCAAAGCACTAGTGATAATGGAAGAACTCTGATAAACTATCTGACAGGACAGAATTTTTTTTTGGAGGCCAAGTCCCAGGAGGACCTGCTATTTGAGGGGACAAAAATATTTTTCCTTAAGCTCAGCCTGAAGATAGAAGCAAAAAAAAAGGAACTTCAATTCAAAAGATGCCCATTGGTAGAAGACGCCATTATTTCTATGGTATTACTTATGATAAAGCCTTTATTTTAGGTACAAAAATCTTTAAAAACAGTATCTTCCAGCTTCTTCCATCCACAGGTCAACTAAGTCATGGTGACTCGTGAAGCGCAGAGAACGTGATCTGACCATGAGCAGAAGCCAGCTCAGATGGAATCTGATCAATTGCAGCATACGGAATTCCGAAGTGCCATGCTTCGCCCGTGTGGGATGCTGAAGATTGTGCACAACAGCGTCACCCATTTGGTAAGTAGCACATCATGCCGGACACACAGCACCAAGATTCCAAGAGCCACACTGAAATCCACCTAGAAACTTGCGGGAGCCAATTTGCTTGTTTTAAACAGGCAGCCGGGATCTGGTTAGCTGGGAGACCCCCTGTCTCCCATTCCATACAGACACAGCTGAGATCAGACAAAAAGAATTGAGCTAAAGGACTCTCAGAACAGCTGGAGGAGCTGCTGGCAGGACACTGGCAGCGATGGGGTTCTCTTGACTCTGCATTTCACTTCCTTCTTTCATCCAGATTTGTTAACCATCCAAACATGCTCCCAAACTCATTTTCCCCCCCTCACAGGAATTTAGGGAAATTGGGGTCACTAGGTAAAGGTGCTGGACATGAATAGTCTTTGCATGATGATACGGTGAGGTAAGGTGTTTGGTTTGAGGAAGGCTTTTACTTGGAAATTATAAGAACTGTACTGAGGGTTTTTTAATTGTGTGCTTTAAATTTTAGAAGGTGTCTAGACTTCGGAAAAGGAGCCAGAGAAAAATGAATAAAATAATCAAAAGCCAGGAGAACGCTGACCACATTTGAGAACCTGGTAACTGCTCAAAGGAATAACAGGAGTAATATCTAATGTATTCCTGATCTGCAAAAGCATTTCAGGAAGCTTTATGGTTAACAGGAGTTACATTTTTGATCCACACTGAAGTTTACACATTTTTTTATGGCCTGAGCAGCAGCATTACAAATTCATCTAGACAGTATGGTGAAAAGCACCTAGAATAGAGCAGTGGAGGATACTGAACTCCCTGGGGGAAAGTAAAGTACAACCATTCACCCGAATCACAAACTAAAACCACGTATGCCCCTTGCAGTTGTGCTGTACTGCATATGCAACTCTGATTTCCCTGACCACAGACCATCAGACAGGAGACAAGGCAGCTGAGCAGAATGGCAGGCTCTACATGAGCCCCACTGGCTGGAACACGGCCCTTTTAAAGAACAGAGCGGTATGTGACAACAGCTGACATACTGTTAAATAGGAGGAGTCAGCCACGACAGTAAATACCTGGGTTATCCTAACCGAAGATTTCAATTGCCCAAGTCCTCTGAATAAATGGAGGGCTACCTTTCCTGTTTTCGGTAAGTGGATGCAATTGTGGTCCAACTTGTATGGATTTAATCTGATATACGAGTAAGGTGTTTAAGAACTATATTACCCTGGGTTTACTCTCACACCCTTCACTCCAAAAATTCAATATGAAGATTGACAACTACAGAAGCAGAACACAAGAAGCTCAAGTTAATTTTTAAAATGTATTGTTTAAAAGGTTTAGACAGTAGTTGAGATTCCAACAGCCCTGAATAGCCATCACAAATTTTGATGTTCAAGTGTCTATTCTGCATTTGATATTAAAATACATGTTTAAAAAGTCATATAGACTTGTTTACCAACACTGGTACAGTTTTTAGAAGTTAAGCATGTGCATTCATAAAAATATCCAATACTCTGAAAAATACTAATGTGTAACATCACCAAAAAGAATGCAAAAGGACTCATCGCTGACACTGTTAACTGAAGATGCACTGGGAGTTTAAATACTTCTCTTCAAATGCAACTGCAATCCTGTCAATGCAGGTTACTCATTTCCCACTGCCTTTTGCCATCCCACTTAGTTGCAAGAGAAACACACGTGATTTCCACACAAACAAGAGTTAAGAAGTACTAATGTTTAAGTTGTTCCTGCATTTCATACTCTGTACTACCTTGAGACTAGGATTTGTGAATGAGCAAAATCAGAGTTGTGTGTCTTAGCAACCTGTCTCTAATCACGTAGTAGTGATCATGGACTCCAAGAGAGCCCTGTCCTGACCTCCAGAGAAGAAGCAAGGTTGTTGCAACACAGACACTTCACTCAAGGCATTGAAGGAGCTGGGACAAAGTTCCTGAGGTCTATGCCTCAGGTCAGCCCAAATTAAGATTTAAAATTCATACCAATTAAGCTTATTTTGCCTGAAATGTCTCAGATACAGACAGCTGAGGTTTTGTTTTAATATCAAACAATGCAATTCCAATAGCAGTGAAGGTGCAATTGTTTAAACATCACAAATATGATGAAATATAGGTACTATTTAACTATGATATCTAACAGGCATCATTACATACAAAGAGAAACAGAAGTTCCTACCCATATATCCTGTTTTTCACCGATTGGAAAGTTTGAATACAAGTCTATCATTTCTGGAGTCCTATACATTGGTGTTGTGTTTCTTGTAATCTGCAGAAACAAAAGTAAAAGTTCATGAAGCAGAGACCTGAACAATGCTTTATGTTCAGCCTCAGGGAACAGCGTTCCAAAAATGTTCTGCTAAAAAGCAAGTAAAAAGGGCATTCTGACTTCAAAAGCTAGTTTGGGGCACATTAGTCAAGGTGCAAGTCCTTGCTTCAAAATAAAGTTACGAGGGAAGTACCTCTATGTAAAGCCGACAGGAATGACATTTTAACTGTAATTAAAAAGTACCTGCTGCAGTAGTCCCTTCAAGCCACACAGCAAGCAAAACCAGACTATCTGCTCTCAACGGGGGAGAGTGACACCGAGAAACAAGGAACAGTTATATCAGGGGTAGGCAATCTATGGCACATGTGCCGAAGGCAGCACGTGAGCTGATTTTCAGTGGCACTCAGACTGCCCGGGTCCTGGCCACCGGTCCGGGGGGGCTCTGCATTTTAATTTAATTTTAAATGAAAATTCTTAAACATTTTAAAAACCTTCTTTACTTTACATACAATAGTTTAGTTATATATTATAGACTTATAGAAAGAGACCTTCTAAAAAGGTTAAAATGTATTAATGGCACGCAAAACCTTAAATTAGAGTGAGTAAATGAAGACTCGGCACACCGCTTCTGAAAGGTTGCCGACCGCTGAGTTATATCATGCCCTTAGGATGCATCTGGAGGAAGGACCCTACTTTGTGCCTTTTTTCCTCCGCCCCATGTGAGAAGTTGGCCAACTGCCTGGCACCATCTTCTCTTCCCTTCCCAGAGAGCCAGCAGACAATTCTCCATGAGTTCAGGTTCCAAAAAGGAGAAGGGGACCAGAAGCAAGCAGGTATCATTCTTCTAGTACTCAGGACCTCCCAAAAAAAGAAGTTGATGCTGTCAATGAGCGTGCAGACTCTCACAAGTTAATGGATTTAGTTTGAGTCTCATTACTGACCTTCTCCATAGATCTAGAAGGGTTTGAGAAATCACTTAAAGTAAATCCATCTTTACCGCTACATTAGGGTTTGTCAGCATTACTAGTACTCAGCCAGATCTATGGACAAACTGCATTTTGAAAGAAAGGGGGAACATGCCAACACTGATACAGCTGTCCTAAGAGTACAGCAATACTGTCTAGTCCAAGATCTGTCAAACAGACCTACTGCTTCATCACATGCCACCCAATTCAGTTTGGGAAGCCATGTTTGATTAGATTTGATCAGAGTCACTGGGGTACAACTGACTCTTTACTTTTGAAAATTCACATACTAACAGAAAATAGCAGTCGATTCCTTACTCCTCTCCCTTTTTATTAAACAGGTCATGAAAAGTTACACTATCAATTGTGTCAAGTTTCAATTTGTGGTTATATTTTATTTCTCCACAGCAGAGAGTAGCAGGCACTCCATGGGCATCCATTAGGATGGGTGCTCAGGAAGGTAGTTTAAAAACACAAACTGTTTTGTTGTAACGGCAGATAACATTTGAACAAGGTAGCAGCAGCTGACTGGAAAAATAAGGCCTTGTAATCCACTTCACAACTGAAAGGGCTTCAGTTGTCTTAGAACGTTCATAAATGAGGGAAAGTTGGGGGGAGGGGGGGTTAATGCTAACAGAGCAGCACTAATGAACTGCCTGTCAAGTTTCTCACCTCCTCTTCAACTATTGCTCTCTTTTGGGCAGACCAGCTGTAATCAGGATAATGTGCTATAGTTGTAGCACTGCCAAAGTCACACAGCTTAATTGTTCCTTGGTTACTAATCAGCATGTTCTCCACCTGCAGGTAGGTTAACAAATTGAAAAAGTTACAAACATTTATGAAGGCTGTGTAGCTCATGCACACTTTTAAATCATGCCCAGGAAGTGTACAAATATTTATTAAATAAAATGAATGAATACTTAGTATTTTACTGCACATGGTATCCCACGTTAGAATGGACACTTAAGACTCTATTAGAGTAAGTGACAGGCTTAAGGTCCAAGCCGTAGGCAAAACAGGTAGTAAGCCCAGGAAGTCCAGCTCTCCCCCTTAATCTAGCCACTAGACAGCTTGCCCTGAATGACATGATCTATTTTGTGGAATAGTACATCTTTATTTCTAACAAATTCAATTCAAAGGATCTAGTATTTTATTTAATCCATGTCCCTCCATATGTTGGTTTTGCACGACATGTTCTAGTGCTTTAAGCTAGAAAAGACATGCAATGAGTCTTTTACAAATTGCCCTTCAAGATTAATGAGTAGTTTAAAACCTTATCAGGAGCACCAGTTAATAGCTGGGGGAGGGGATTCTCTCCAGGAGAATTCTGTGCTGATTGTGAGGCCCGAAAAGGAAAATGTAAATTAAATGTTTATTCAAAAAATTAAAACTGTTTTCAATAGGTCTCATCTTCTCTGTTAGCCTTAGATTGTGATAGCCTCAGAGCATGGAATATCTTTATCATTGTATCTTGAGGCTGCATTCCCTTGACCCACCCTGATAACTGACTCTTCCATTTAGTGGTTCCTATTGTGTTAGTACACTCCTTAGTGCTCTCCTGTATGCACCAGGTCTGGCATAGTGGGCAGAGCAACAACCAAATACAATCAGCACACACGAATATCATCGGCACCCCCTGTGAAGACACAGTAAAATGTGCATGCTTACTTGGGCCCAGCTTTTAGAAACAGTGGTCACTCCCTTCCTAAGAATGTCAGTAGAGTGTTCATATTTTAAGGGGGTCTCTACCTGTGTCTTCCAAAACCAGCTTACAGGGACTTTTAAAAATCCAAATTTAATTCTGAAGAAAATGCCTCCCCTATGCTACAAAATGACTTGTTTTGTTCCACATGGCAACTACTCAAGGGGACAAATTAATTCAGAGAGTTTCAAGTATGAGAGCCATGCGACTATTTTCAAAATACACCTCTACCCCAATATAACGCTGTACTCGGGAGCCAAAAAAATCGTACTGTGTTATAGGTGAAACCGCGTTATATCGAACTTGCTTTGATCCGCCGGAGCGCACAGCCCCGCCCCCCCGGAGCGCTGCTTTACTGTGTTATATCCGAATTCGTGTTATATCGGGGTAGAGGTGTACCCCATAATTAAGGTGGAATTTAAACAAGTGGCACCAGTTCTTACAATGCCGCGTGCATGTAAATCACATTAACATTAGCCATTGTGAAAAGGATTGGGGGAAAGCAAATGAAGGAGTGCGTGCCACACCAACAAACAAAGGAATGAAGTAATGGAAAGTCTGCAGCGGAGGTCACAGCATAAATCTCAACTCATTGGAAGCTGCATTATATCAGAGAATTTCAGAGATCCTAATATCTTTAAGCAAAAGAATTTCAAATATTACAAAATCTTTGATGATACTGAGCTCAATCACTTGTTTTCCCACACAGCCAATACTAGAGTCATTCACTTTAAGGCCAAATAAAGAGAAGATATCTATATCTGTAAACAGTTATTAAAGCAAAAACATTTTAGTTTAAAAATGCACAGAGACTGTTTGACGTAAGCTTTCTCCTCAGTCTACCTAAACTCAGTTTTCTGGGAACAGCAGTGCAAACACACCTCCCTGGATCATTTTAGTGAGGCCACTGTCTGTTGCAGCACAAAGATCAAGATCTTGCTCTGAATTTTCCTGTAAAAGCCCCTCTCCCTGTGCAGCTACTGTAGTATGAAACCCACTTTCTGCCCCCTCCCCCCCCAGCCCTCTCTCCATCACTGAGTCTCTGCCAGGGACAGGTTTTCTTAATAGGCACTGGAATAGTAACAGAAGAAATCAATAACATAATTTTTATTTAACTCTGTAAAACGGTCTACTATAGTAGCACCCTACACAGAATCAGGGCCCACACTGTTCAAGTAGAGCAGAGTAAAACATCAGCCCCTGCCCTTGAACTAGTGTCTCAGGAAAAATTTCAAGTTTTAAAAAATGCTAACCCTTGGCAACTGCTTAGTTCCTCCCAACAGGATGGCACTGGCCACAATTTTACCTCAGAGCTCAAGGCCTTCCATACCATTTGTAAAGGACTGACAAAGGATGAAAGGTCTTAAAATAACCAATCAGGAAATAAGTGCCCCCCTTGATTAATTTTAGTTCAAAAGTCAATGTGCTCCAAAACCAAGCACTACAACAAAAAGTAGATTTTAGTGTCTTTTGAAACTCCAGCCATCCCAATCCCCCACACTCACTGCAGCTGGTCGCTAGGTTCAAAAGAGAACAGCATTTCAGTAGCACACTGACATTATGCTCCGCTTCCTTTCACAGCTTTATGTTTCTGCTATTAAAAAAATTCTTACCACCAAAATATGTGTGGCTTCCAGTCACGAGCTTACTTACCAGCAAATAGGAACTATTGTTCAGATTAAAGTAAGAGTGGGAAACAGACTACATGGTTTCAGTTTGAGCTCTGAAATTTAACTAACAGGATATTCAAAAAGTATTTCTAACACCAAAAATATAGATAAAGGATGTGGTCTAAACACTAGGCCATGTAGTGGTGTCCTTCATTCCCAGCCAGCAATCCCAACGAGATGGATATGTACTCATACCATCATTTGAAATGCTGCATACTCAAGTGTCTCAATTTCATTAGTTCTACAGCATCAACTTTGTAGTCCGCCCTGGAAGTCTGCTTTCACACTTCATTCAAATGTCGCAGTTACTTAAATTCTATACTGTACCTTTAAATCTCTATGAATTATAGGTGGTTTCTGTTTATGCATATGTTGCACTGCTCTGCAGGTCTGATAAAATATCTTCAAAACTGTATCACACGAGAGGGGCCCTTTGGATTCAACTTTCTTTAAGAATTCCACCAATTGCCCTACAGGAGATAGAATCAATTCATATTAGTATACAGATGCTTCAAGTTTTGGAAACGTGCCATTAAGTATATTAGATAAGTCTAAACGTGACACACACCTGTCCTGATCAAGAAGCATTTAATCCCCTGAATTTGACAAGAGATTTGACCAAGACTATTTTTGACCATAAAGAAAATCCAGGAAGATTTTTGACAAAGAACTAAGCACTAGGGAGATGATGTTGTCATACCAAAAAAAAAAAAAAAAAAAAAAAAAAAAA